TAATAACAAATTTAAATAATTGAATTCATTTATTAAAGCAAGCAAGTAGGAGAAATATTATATACCTATACTAAAAGCGATAATAATTTAAAATCATTTCTGTAAAGGCATTTATTTCCGAAACGGAAAGTTTCTCGGAATTCAGACTTAATTTTTGTTTTTATTTTTTCAATCATGTTTGACGTATTTATAAGCGATAAAGCTTATTTGCAATACTCTTATTACTGCGTTATTTTATACAATAATGTTTATTTTATTCATTTACTATCAATACTTACTAGGTATAAGACAATAGTGCTTCGATATAAAAGTTTTTGTTCACGATAAGGAATTGCAATTCTCTTTCAATATGTTAAATGTTTTAATATATTATATTTACTCTGAAAAACTATACTAAAAGGAAAAAATATAAATATCATGATTCAGCGTGTTGTTTTAGAGCATTATAAGGAATTACGTCACTGGGCATAACTTCCACGCAACTAACCAAAACGCAATATGAAAATCGCTATGGGGTTTATTCTTCTCGTCCATCTGGTAGTCTTTTTATTTACCTTAAGTTTACTAGCAGTATTAGAAATTTTATATGAGAATTTGTTTAAACAGTCTGACCATTCTACTTACTATATAAGGTCGTCGTGGTATTGATAAATAATGATCTATAAAGTGTGCTATATGATAATAGGCCGGGAGATAGTGACACAAAATAGTGGGTCATTTGTACCAGTATGGCGGTTCTTCAGGGGTCTTATTAAGCAATGAAAAAAAGAAAAATGATGGTCAGAGCGCTGGTACCGGCGCGGCGGCCCAATCGCGTGAGCGTTAGTCGAACTCGTCGGATTAATTACGGAAGTCAAACGATTTGTTCCTCAAAAATTCTAGTATATTCCGTTAGTCCATAAAAAAATAAGAGGCGGCAGTGTCATGCCATACTTCTCCGGTGTGACTTACAGCCCGCCATACCGACGCGAATGCGTTAATTTAAAAAAAATCAACCATATGTACCAGGCTAATTTTTGCACAGTTATGACCCACTATTTTGTGTCACTATCTCCCGGCCTATAACTATCATACTTTATAAAATATGCATAATATTATGTGTGAAATGGAAAGGAATCAAAGCGGCGTCTTTACTAAATTGGACCAAATGGCACTTGACTAAACCTATTGTAAGTAATTAATAATTTAAAGGCGTTTAAAGGTAGTGAATGTATTCCGATATACGTATATTTATAACGTCACATATATACAGTCATTTTATGTCTCAGTTGCACATAAACGCCCATCTTTCTATAACTTTCACTCTTAGATCTAACATGTTTAACTCCTTTTCATATTAGTTTGTTGGATACAGTAAGATTTTTTTTTTAAAATAATAAGCGAGGCTACGGGACGCCCAAAAAATGCAGTCATCGCAGCCCATGGACCCATTTTTAGTGGGTGCGTTGCCGGCCTTTGAAGGAAAGCACTATAACTTTGAATAGTTGGAGGTCGTAACTCTCAGGGAAGACCCACACCGGCCGTCTATTCCACAGTTACCGGAATTATTGTGGTAACTTTTAATATAAAAATGTAGGAACTACTGAATGGATTTTGATACTTCCATAAATAGTTTCTAATAATATTAAATAGATACATTTAATAAAGTTAAAAATAGATTTTATTAAAAAAAAGAAGCGAAACGACAGCTTAATAAATATATAATAAATACCTATACTAGACGAAACACTTCTCCACACAACAGTAACACTGTAATGATTAATAGCAGTATATTACTATTAAATATATTTCTACTGATGATATTGATTACTAATAATAAATTCCATAAAGGTAAATAATTCCAACCCATAAGTTGTTTAAGTGTAAGTAAAATGGCGGTTGCAGCTGCAACCATTGTCATAGGTCATAGAGCATAGCAAAACACGGACTACACATACCCATTGGCATTTGCTTATTATTATAAACATGATGTGTCTTGGTTATTGATATAAAATTCTAATATCCATATTTTATAAACTCAAACATACACACCCTGTAATATACTTATTCGACATTTTATGACGTTCAATTATTAATGTTTTTTCGATGTATACATGCATTATACGGTTTATAAGATTAATTTGATGTTTATCTGCCTAATTCATTTATGATGTTATTGATAAGATCGAGGTTCTTATATAGTTATCTATAATAATTAAAATATTAGATCATCTGTGACTTCCTTTCGACGAAATAAATTAAATATCGTTTATTTTAAACCCGCATCATATTAAGTGGCAGCTAGGTGAGGGGTACCGGGTTCGATTCCCGGTTCGAGGGCAAGTTTTAATTTAATTTTGTTCTCGGCCTTTGGGAGGGTTGTGCGGTGCCGGGCGAGTGCTTAAACCGTACATGGAGGACACGGTCGAATTTCTAAGGCAAGCACGAATTATAAAAATCTTATACTTGACGCTGGCTAATGCACAAACTGTGCCAGAGCCATAAAGGAAAAAAAAAAAAAAAAAGCCGCGTCAATACGTGATGCAATATGAAAAATCATTGATTAATGTCGTATAATGAATCATCAATAAATTTATTTCAAGTTTTCAGACGTATAGTAAATAGCTATTCAGATTTAATTATTGAGTTCACGTGATTTCAAGTTGTCAATTAGTTCTGGCTTGACAGAGTAAAATGTTGTATTAGGCACTATGGGTAAATAATAAATATAAAGCATATTAAGACAAAAAATTATTACTTCTTAATTTCAAGATAATTGAATGAGTAATTACTAAATTACCTACTTAATGAAACTGGGCATCGTTCTTGCAACATGAAATGATTACATAACTTCCTTATTTAATACGGCATATAACATTCTACCTAGTCTGTGTGACGAATGAGAATTATTTCGCATAGTTATAATCTATTGTATTTACTCTAAGATCTATTACCTAACAACACGGACGGCGAAATAATTTTTGCATTATTAGCTTATTAATATTATAGTTTTATTTAAAATGTCTAACGAAACTATGTTTCAAGAATAACATAAAAAGATTCCTCATATATTCGAAAACTTAGATAGCTTTCTTTGTTGTCAATTCCTTTGTTGTTTAAACTATTTGAGATCCAGTACGAAATCCACTAACAGAAATAGTTGGATGAATGGTCAAACTGCTCGATTTATTATCTAAATAAATCTAGGTGATATATGTTTTCTATACCATAAAGTGGGTCATGAATTTATAGGTTTAAACACACGATCCGGTTTTGTAGTTTATTACATCCACATTAACATATTCACTCGTTCGTGCGGCTGAATATTTTCAAATCTAATAAAAAGTTCATTAACTGGGATCTTACTTCGCCCGCGTTGATTTGGGGGAATAATCCTTAAAATTGTCTTTGGAAATTAAATGATTCATTTGTTTTTTTTGGAAATTAAAAGATGTCAAGTATTATATACAGTTATATACTTATAGTTCATGGTACGAGGTACAAGCGCTATTTACACTACTGCGCACCATCACTGTGTGGAACCAGCTGTCCACTGAAGTGTTTCCGAACCAATTCGACTTAGGATCCTTCAAGAAGGGTACCAACTCGTAAAAGGCCGGCAACGCACTTGCGCTTATGGCAGTGTGAGTGTCTATAAGTTGAGGTATCAGTTAACATCACGTGAAACTCCTGCCCGGTCAAAAAAACATTTTTGCCCGCTTCATGATGTGGTCATGCATTGCACGTTCGCGTCACCATGTATCATTTGGATGTTATTGGTTTAATTAATACTTTTAAAGAGAATCATAATTGTGGTTTCATATGCCATGGACGTACGTGAACTACAAAACTAATGTTTCTCATCAAACATTTCAAAAGATATTTTATCGATATTTGACAGACGTTACAGTACGTAACACTTCTAGGTTTTTCTATAAGTAGACAATAAGTCATCACTAAGACTGTATTATCAACCTTAATAAATAAAATATAGTTAAATGGGAAATATTAAAAAGCTTGCAATCTTGAAAAATTAATGGTTATCAGGTTTCAAGTGCAAAGCAATAAATGATAATAAAACATGTCATGAGATCCACTCAACAATATTTTTAATAGATTGCTTCATTATATTTTTCATACTAGTACTGTTGTATGCTTAGGCCGATTATGTCTCGAGTGCCAAATATACCTACCTAAAACGTACACATTTTTCGTCTACAATCTAGATAGATACATGAATTACTTTGATAAACACAATCAAGAATTTCTTCAAAGATACATTATACCGGATTACACGAATAATCACCGTATTACAATAATTTCCATATATTTCTTTTAAACGTGATATTCGCGTAAATTAGTGTCTATATCCGCGAAAGATATATTTAAAGAGAGATAGTTTTAATAGTTTTCTGACTCCTCTTACAAGAATATAGCGAAAGATAAGCTAAGATAAGCTTCTACAAGTAAAATTTCCTTATTCACGGTTTAGTCACTGTTATCAATATTATTAATACTTGGAATAACATTCCTTAAATTACTCATTAAGTAAGTTTAATATTTAATTTGTTAAACGTTTGTAAGTGCCTATTAGAATGTAATATAAATTGCAATTAAATTGTCATTAGAAATACAAAAATTCGTTGTTAGAAAGTAAATATATTTTTTTATGCTTTTAATTGTAATCGTAGGTTTTATTATTTCATTGTAGATATTTAAAATGACACCTTATCAAATTGCGGAAATAAGCATTTTTCATGTACTCGTAAATACATTTACGAATATACAGCCCCTACCTAATAACTAATGTTGACCTTGACTTTAATCGTTTATAAAGTTAATTATAAAGAACCACATTTTTCTTAGCAAAGAAGTTTTACCTCAATATAAAACTCTTAATCATTTGATCAAATAAACGTGTACCACTGCTGTTGAGCTATTAAGACTTTCGATAGCATAAACTGGAATCAAATGACTACCTAATGATAAATAACAATTATCACATTCAGTGAATTACTTACATCTTCGGGAGGGAAGTCGTAACATTCTGCTATTTTCTGATACAGTTCCTTGACATTAGCAAATCCTGATATTAAGCCAAGAGGGCTTCCCTGTGCCTGTTGACAATGAAACACTAACTGTGTCTTTTGTCCATTGTTGTTATCAACACCGTTAGATTGATTGTGTATTTCTTCCACAGGAGGGGGCGGCACCGGTTGAGAGGCGTATTTAGAAGTTTTCTTCTTAAATAACGACATGGCGAAGTAACGGTAAAATTAAGGTTTCTTTGGTATCAAGTTCAAAACTCACTCATTACACCCGCGCACTGTAAAATTATAATCACTATGAGAACATTAACAGCTATCAACGCGTCATACTTCACGATAAGTTATCAACCAATGATATTGGAGGATAAGATTATGGCACACTATAGAAACATTTTTAAAAGACGAATGCCGATGGCGAAAACAAACAAATAACACGTTTAACCCAGAGACCGCTTGATGGGTGACTGAGGAGTGAGGAATGGAGAGTGTCGAATAGCGAACTGCCGACTGCCGAGTGAGGACTGAGGAGCGGAGGAGTGAATGGTGTTCGTACAATGCGTGGCCCTCATTTAACGTGTGAAATAAATTTTAAAAAATTTGAACAGCGACGTAATTTTTATTAGTTTATAATTATTCATAGCTGTATGTAATGGTATACAGGTAGCACGGTATTGTTAATATTAAATTTTTGCCCCTCCTAGCGCAGTCAGGTTTATTTTATTGTTGTCAAACATGATATATTTTAGGTATGTAAAGGTACTTACTACATTTTGCTAATATTTTACTTCTTTGTTTCGTGTATGCCAGAACCCAGAAGTGTTACAAGACTCGCAGAAAGCTTACCTACTTGCCTAAATAAAAATGTATCAATGAAACAGATGCAGAATTTCATATAACACAAAATTAGTATTAGATATGCCTGTCTCTGGGTTCTCACAAATTCGTTTCATATGAAGCGGATATTATATGTTGTAATTGAATTTAAAATTAACTTTGCGTTATGGTAGTAGAATAAGTTCTTTTAATGTGGGCGTTATGCGCCTATGCGGGATATTGCCCGCATCGTACAGAAATAGACTAATTTTATGTTGCTTGCTTTTTGTATGTAAAAATATATGTAGTTGCTAATCAATAAATGTAGTTCCTTAATTTTTATTTAAAAAAAAATTTAAACATACTAAAAGGTTTGTATCCATTAAAACAGCTATGTATACAATTTAAAGAGTAAATTAACAAACAATAAATGAATACAAATATATACACAATTTTGCTTATAGCTAAGAGTTTTGTGGAAGTAATATACCTAGCCCGCAATAAATAACACCGTAAAGACATCACAATCTTGCTAATCTGTTTAACCTATAGGCAAACTGATACCTCTTTCGTACTTTTTTTATAATTGCCACATCTTGCTGATAACAGTGAACTGATTAAAAAAGGGCTAGATTTAGCTTGGAGAGTGAGAATGTAAAGCGAAAAACGTATAACAGAAGAAGAAAAACAATTGTGCGTTCTGTTCTGATTGGTCGACAGCATCTTCAGACCAATACGCGTTAACAAATAACAGGAGACACGCGACACGATACGTCATAACGTCCGTTTGACCAATGATAATCGAATGCAATGTTTCGTCTCGCGTCATTAGTTTTTATTTTTTTTAATTCAATTGACATTTTACTCATATCTGTGAGTTTTTACCACCAAGCATTCCTATTGCTATCAAGCTGTGATGATATAAGTAATTTGTATTGCCGTCTATCGCCAAGTTAAATATTCTTATTTCATTTGACATTTTTGCTCATATCTAAGAGCTCTGACCACCATGCCAAAAGTTCTGGTGGTGTGAAGCCGTGAACTGATGCCAATTCCCAATAAGAGCTTACTAGGGGTAGCCAAGGCCTGTATACACTCAATCTTGGTTCGTGGGTCAATTTTAACCCAAGTTTACGTCTTGCCACTAAATATGTAATGTAAATATCTTCAATGTTAATTAGTGGGACTTCATACGCCGCCAAAAACATTGGTTTGAGGTGTTTTCCTAAAAAATAAAATCAACTTAAATAAGCTTATCTAGTGTAATGTTTAATAGGAAAAAAATACGAAATTTTATAATCTTAATCGTTTAAAGTTTTTAGAAATAGTCCGTAATTATTTTTCTTTTAGAAATCCAAACGGAAACCTTATTGAGAGTAATTTAAATTTTATTAAATTTTATTGTTACCATTAATCATATACCCATTTCCAGAGAGATATTCCGGCACAAACTCCTCAGGGTACAACCAGCTTGGCATATGCCACTTACTGCTCTCACGACGATCCAGCTCTGCATTCACCATTTTATAACCTAAAATCAGTCTTAACTTAAAATTATAAATATCAAACCGTAACATTTTTATTTCTCTTTTTTAATAAAAAAATACGCAATAAATTAATTTAAATATCCCGCTTCGATAGAGTGAGCTAGCTCATACCAATTAATGCAAATTGTAATATTGTATAGGAGAACAAGTTTTCACTTGGACGGTAGACGCTATTTCAAAAAAAATATAAAAGGTAGATCAATTCCAAAAAAAAGACGGGTACGTGTTAAATCAAACATATTGTTTGAATGAGACTTGTTAATTCTGGCTTCCGTACGTCAACAATGTGTTTAATTTTAACATAGGGAGTCATAGGTCCATATTTTAAACACTGTCAAATATGTCATTCATACAGAAAAAATTGTTTGACACGTCTAGACACTGGAGGTTTGCTTGACGGGCTAGTTTGCGCTACTTGTTCGGGTTTGGATATGTATATTTGTAGAAGTTATAACGGGTGGCGAAAAAGTAATGGCACTAAAGAAAATTTGTTTATTTCAGTTGTTGAAAATTGTGTAGTGAACAAATGTAAAATACACTAACAATAAACATGGACCGTTTTACTCCCCAAGAACGTGGAATAATCGTGTCAATGTTCTTGCGGAATAATTCATCAGTGATAAAAACACAACGTGAATTTCGTCGACGATTTCCTGCAAGATCACCCGATCTGACGACTCCAGACTTCTTTCTTTGGAGTTTTTTGAAATCTCGGGTGTATATGTACAAGCGGCAAGCCACAGACTCTCGCAACTCTAAAAGAAAACATTCATCAAGAAATAAGGAACATATCGCAGGAACTATTACGGCAAGTTATGCAAAATGTCATAAATTGGGCTCAAATGTGCATCAACTCTGGAGGTCACCATTTAAAAGACGTCATCTTTAAATCCTAATGGTACTAAATTTAATGGCACAAATATACATTTAAAAAAACCTAAATCTAGTTTTCTAATTTAGAAAAAAAAATTATAGCTGAACCAAATAGGGTCTTTACTTTTGCGCCACCCAGTATATTAAGCAAAATTTCTTATATACACCTGAAAACTCCTACTATAAATATATAGGCTATATTACCAATGAGATCAGCGTCTGGGGTGTCGTGCACAATTGTTTCCAACTGCCAAGGGTTTAATAGCATATCATCATCGGTTTTAAGTATATAATTAACTGATGAGCATTCCTCAGATGCCCACTTCAGCATGAGCGCCACCTTTATCGTGAGATTCTGGTAATGGTCTTTGAATTCGTACACAATTAAATCATCTTCGTGTCTGTCATTCTAAAACAAAAGAAGATCTATGACGCGACATTTCTCCACGCTGATTAGTCTTTGTCTTCATAGACAAGTGGACGATTGCTATTATTAGCACGATTATTACGAACAGAGCAAAGGCAGTTAGAGGCACCAAACGAAGTAAGGCACCTTCAGGCACATAACGTTCTTTCTTTTGCCTATTTGAAATAATATTTGTCACACAATATTATAAGGCAAAAATAACTTCACAGCAATTATCATAACCACACATATTCATCGTGCTTAGCTCATAATAGCATAAGCAGTGGTGGCCTAGTGGCTTAAGCGTCGACTTAACACAAACTGCGCTATTAACACTTGCCACTACAGTTAAGGCAAACATCATGAGGATGCCGACATGTCTTAATACCCAAAATCTACGATGTGTGTGACATACACAAAAGGCTGATCACCTTCTTGTCTAATAAAAATAACAATCAAAAAGGGATGAAATCTGTGGTCTCTACAGGGTTGTAGCGCCACTGGATTATTATTATAAAATTTTTTTAGTAAAAAAGTTTTAGTAATTAGTTCGGAAAGCTTAAGAATCTCGGATAGTATGTTGCTCAGTTAATTGCAATTGTATGCATCTGGCAATTAATTGAAACCTTCGTTCGTTTTATCATTGATGTGATATAACTCACAAATCAATGATTTAATTTGTCATAACCGCCTGCGTTAAACGGGAAATTAAAAAAAAACATCAGACATCTGCCCATATTACGAAATTATATAAAGGGCACTAGTACATTACAAGACTTTCTACCGACAGATAGATAGGGGTGTCGCTTGTAGAAGTTCGCCCATTGTATAGTGAAAACTGCATAGTGGTCTTGACTGTGATAATAAAACATGTAAAGATAGTAATTAATAAAATTAATTAAGCAAAACTATTTTGACAATTTAATTTTTAACAGCTTTTTCGATTCTCTAGTGCAGCTGCCCCTACACGCCACGTCCTTGCTGCAGTGCTTTAAATGTCGCATAAGATGAAACAAAAATTCATCTTTACTCCTCTTTTAAAAAAAGCAACCTCAAGAAACAAAAGCTTCCCATACATACCAGGTGCTGCAACTCCTCACCACTTAAGCCCAATATAAACAAAGTAGGCACTCGAGTAGCCCATGTATTTCTGATCGCATACCTCTGCTCCGTGTGAGAAGGCGCAGAGGTTACCATCACCAGAAGTGGCATATTATCTTTGCACGGTGCTATTTTCGGCTCAAGAAGTAGTCGTCTAAAGATTTAAAGGTTTAATATTGAGGTTAATCTCTAATGAACTGAAAATTCTCTTGAAAAACTGTAAATTGCTTTTCTCTGCGATATATTATATACGTATAGTAAACTACTTTAGTGTAACCTATTATAATGAAAAAGATTACTCAAACAAAGATGCTCATATTTCTAGGATATCAATTGTGAATAATTAAAAATTATTCAATCATTAGTTTTTTTCTTGGGGAGAATTCCTTCGTAAACGGTCCTTTAAATGTAATGTGAAAATCACAATAAACATAAAAAGTGAGTAAAATAAATAAATAGTACTATTATAGTACATACATTTCCTGCAAATAATCCGATAGGCTTCGCGATTTTCTAAAATGATTAAGATTCTTTGCAGCAGTGACGTTTTCGGTAACATGTGTCATACACCAACAACATATCAACGTAGATAATATAATAAAAAATAGCAAATTTCTTATGGTACTCGTTCTTATAACTGTAAATCAATTTGAAAAAATGATTAGGTATACAGGTATGAAATTTTAAACTAAATATAAAAAGCATGTGTATAATCATCAACATCTATTGTGTATTTCATATTAAGAACACAGGTGAGGAAAAAACTCGCCACGAAAGGTCCATTTTGGCGGTAAACGAAGGGACGCGCTACGCGGGAAGGGTGTAAAATACTCTAGGCGGTAAAATATCTATTACCAAAGACAAGAGAAATACCCTTTACTTTTATAATTGTGTTGGCTACTGGCTAGTGGCTAGAACAAAGTACGACGAGGTAACGCGCTAAGTCTGCGCGAAATCACTTTTGGAATTTAACAGGGCTCATATTTCATTGCGCAAATTGTTAGCGAATTTATAATTGTTAAGACGTCAAAAGTAAGATGTCGATCTTACTATTGACGTCTTAACTGAATTAATAGCGAAATTATAAACTACCTGTCTTAAACACATTGGCCTTCATCATAATATTTTTTTCTATTTTTGTTGATTTTCTGATATTGTCTAATCTTCCTTTATCGGGATTACTGTTACAGAACATTAAGTCCTAAGTTCTGAAAAACAATTAAATTAGTTACACCAACCGAGAACTCAAATGGCAAAAAAAATTACTTTTTTTAAGTTTATAGCTTGGTTTTTCGACATCGATTTCTAGTACAAATGACTTTTATAATCAATTATTCATTGATATCATAAAGTACGTCTTTTGGACGAAGTTTCTTTCTTGTATTACAACAATAAGCTGTTTGGCTAATAAGCTGTTTGAACTTTAATAAATTCATATTAATAGTATTTGTGTGTTTCTAGTAATATTTTTAATTTAAAGTCCGCAGATTCTTTGCAATACTGATCATTATGATATATATCGTTATTATAATATGTATCCTATCAAAACTCAAAAGTGACAAATATTGCAATAAAAGGCCTGTAATCACTTTGATTACCTAGTGCGAGTGCATGATTAGTGCAGATGTGTAGTGCAAGCAGTGGCCAATTCTTGTTTAGTGGCTCTGTTAAGTAAATTCAGCTGTCGATCAGCAAGTTTGGACGAACATCGAGAAGCGCGCTTATAATTGGAAGAAGTACTGAAAGAAGCATTAAACGCGGTGCTATCTGAAACCGAAGAAGTTTTGGAAGCTGAACTTGCAAGACCAAAAAAAGTATGGGTTCGAAAATGGATTAATAGAAGGCGCAAGCTACTCCATAAGGTTTTGGCTGCTTAAGATACGACGGAATATTACTTTGCTCTCAGGTTGACTGAAGAGTCCTGCTGTTTCCAGACGTGTTTAGGCCCGCTGCGGGGGAGGGGGAAGGGAGGGCGCACGCGACGTCACTACTCGCAGTTCACTCGCAAAAAAATAGAACACGCTTCTAATCACCTGCACTAATCAGTCGCTGTCCCCACCTGTTCTCCTAATCACTAATCAAAGTGAATACAGGCCTTTAGGATTCACAATAATTTTTAAAACAAATTGATTGAAATTGTGGACGAATTTTACAAATTGCTACTTAGTTCTATACTCTTTGATTATGTGTAATCTATTGAGCAGTGACAATTTTATTAGCACAGCTGATTAAAGTATGATTATTGAAAGTGATATGAACATTATTGCTATCAATTAGTTTCCGGCAAAAAATTAATATTCAGGAACATTAGTGTTGTTACTTTTACTCGTCAAGAGTATCCATTTGTAAACATCCTTAATTTCGTTTGTATTTGTTTAGAAATAGGTTATGATTACGAAAAGTGCAATTGCAATAAGCGTAATCGTAAATTAATAATTAAATAAGGTAAGCCGATTTTTTTTATTTATCACAAGCCAAGTTCCTCGCATTCTTTATGTAATTGTAACAACATTATATGTGAGCAAATTGTTATTTAATGACAAGTTACCTTATAATATCTCTGATTTTCTGAAGAACTACATTTTTGTTTTTCACTTGTAATATCTTGTGCACTTTTCACTGTTCACTGTCAACAGTATAAATGATATTCCTTATACATTTGCCAGTGATATGATATCCACTAGAGCTTATCGGTAGCATTAGATGATTATCGATTATGTTTGCTCTGTCCTAGTTGATATTATATATTATTTTTCTATACGCTATAATTTATATACCCACGATAACTGAACATTTTCACCCGAAAATCAAAATGTTGTTTGTTTGAGGTTAGGTTAGGTTTTAAAAACACCGTCCAGCATCTGGCTGGACGGTGTGATCAAAAAAAATTTTGAGCAGAAAAATATGCAGCAGTAAGACAAATTTTATTATAATGCAGTTGTGATTTTTGTTTATAAAAAGAGATTTCCCGAAATGCGATTTGATGTTATATTCTTAATACATTATTCCTGATTAAAATTGTAAATCAATAATATTTTTGTTTTTAAGGTTTGTCGTAACGCGAAATACATACCAAATCCATTCAAACTTTTAGACAGGCAGTTAAGTGGCGGCTTCATTAATATTGCAAGAAAATTTTTAGCTTGTCAGCGGCTCCAGCCTCCAGGATCAATATAAGGAACTTTTTTTGAAACGTATCTAATAAAATAAAGCACGTCACTAGCTAAAGTGGCCGGGCAAATGTACCACACAATGTACCAAACAAAATTAATATATAATCTTTGGTGGCGAACTGCGTGTTAAGGTAGTATTCGGTTCTAAGCGACGCGCGACTGTGTCGTGCGACTCACTGAACTATGAAATATGATCATGTAATATATTGTATGTATATGGAGCGCTAAGGAAACCCCGCGACTCGGTTACAGTGATGCCAACTTAAGGGTTTTCCCCTTAAATGTAGGAGAAATCAAGATGTCCAGGCTTTTAGGGGGTACATAATCCCAGAAAAATATATTCTTAGAAAACGCACATTCTTATTTTTATTAATCAATCGATTATAATTTTTCATTTTACCAATATTTAATATTTATAAAAAAAAATATTGGTAAAATTTAATAATTTTATTTTAATTTTGAGTAAACTCCTTACAGTGAGTTACAGAATCGCAAGGCAGTGCTGTGTTGTATCGATGACAGTGCCGTCGCGCGACATAGGCGATAACCACTACAAAATTTAAATGTTTTTTATTTGAAAGCATCTCATCTGCTCGCTTCAACATTAACAAAATTTAGTCCATCATCATAATTTATACGGAGGTCTAGATAATAATAATGTCACAATAGGAATATGATCTTCATACTCCAGTATAAGTGTCACAACTTTTTTCCTACTTGCGGAGAAATTTCGTACTGGAATAGAACATAAACATCATCGATAAAAGGTGCGAGAAGAATGCATTTCGCGGTCGCTGACATCGGAAAGCTAGTGTCACTCCGCGACATGCCACCAGGGTCGCGGAATAATCGTAGTCGCCAAGTTCCAAATGCTATACATATTTACCGGCATGTCGGCGGGCAACACTCGCGGGCGCAAATTGCGGGCATGATTTTTTCTTAGACGTGTCGACGGGATATGCCGAAAATTTTGGAGATAACTAGTTTTAAGCGTGTGTTTTCCCCTTTTTTAGGAATCTCCATAATATTAGGTATTTCAACCAACCAACCAAAATAAGTTTTATCTACCCGTAATATAGACCATACTATATTATATAAATTGGTAATGAAGTACGGTCTAGTAAATTGCGTAGTTCCTGCGTTATATAGTGACTACTAACAATAATTTTATATAGGTAGATGGATTAAAGAAACTGGTGCTTCGGCATTTCATAAATACCAATAAAAACAAGCAATCGCATAGTTTTCATACATTATATTAATATAAATAATTTGATTTAATAGATAAATGAGGTGTAATTCCATGGATTAGTTGCAGCCTTATAAGAGACGGACGGATTTACATATCATATCCGTAGATAAATCCTTGTTAAAATCATTAAATATAGGTACTATCGACCATTGTTTTAGCATCAATTGTACCTACGTGAATTATACTTCCATTAGTAATTATCTTGATTTTTTCAATCACTGTTTTCGTTTTATTAACTTATCACTCAAGAAAATAGAACAATACAATTAACATTGTAGTCAGTAGTAAGTAAGTCTTGTCAATGTTTATTATATTTGCAACACTGTGACAGTACAACAATTCTGAACTGTCGTAAATTCAAACACAAATAACTGCTAACGTTTTTCATCTATTCATGATTATTATTAAAAATAGGAATGCAATGCCAGTTGTCAGTGTTAAGAGTCCGACCTCCTAGGTATATAAATTAAATTAGGTTAAGTACCTGCTCAATCATTTATGTACTAAACGAATTTTTATTATTCTATATGGTCTATTTGTCATTTTTATCTATAACGTATGAGTGAGTACAATAATAATTATTAATAATACTAATGTAATATACTCTTTAGGACTGCTGATTTTCACACTTCTCCCATAATTTAAGCTGAATCATAACTGGATGCAATATTGTCTAAGGGTCTGTTTCACAATGTACGGATAAGTTCTACATAAGTTCCAAATTAGCTATTTATTACGTAGTGGTAGGATAAACAGTAAACACTATTGTTGCGTTTCACGACTGTTAGATAGCGCTATTCGTCACATAAAGTCCATCATAAGTTATGAGTCCGATGAAGTGTCAAATAGCACAATTTGTCTTCCAAATAATTTGTGTTGCATAACTATTTGGTACTTTATCCATACATTGTGAAACAGACCCTAAGCATGGTTTATTATCATTATGATATTAAATATCATAATTATTATCATTGTGACATTAAATATCATAATGATATTTGACAACACCAATATCGGTACGGTTAACGGTATGTCAATGTCATGTGATTTTCGTCAAGGCGGCACTTTGAATTTATAGTTTTTATTGAGTTACTCGATTTAAAACAGAAATCCTTTTTGTTATTTCAGTGGAGGTAGTATATTAGTGAAAAAATAAATTACAATGATGAGATACCGACAAAAGTTTTCCGCCTTGATAACTAATAAATTTCAAAGTTGTTTTTGTAAACAAGGTAAGTGCCTTATAGTTGAAAATGATTTGAACTTGCAGTTATTTGTATTATTAATTTATTAGGTATTTTTTAGGTCCTAATATTCTTGAAGCAAATGGTTTCAAAAGCAATCAGATATTTGGTTGTAACTTGACTTTAAAACAAAGTTATGTTACTAAGATAGATGAACATGTGGCTACATATGAAGAAGTAGCACAGAGTGTGAACAAACCAAAGAAAATGATTGTGGATGTACGTAATCAAGATGAAATCAAAACCACAGGTCAAATCCCTTCAAGTATCAACATACCATGTAATGTAATTATTATTAAGATATGGTAGCTACATTTATGTACAGAATTTAATTTCTAAAAGTAATTTTTCTACAACCTTAAAAACAGCAGTTTTGACCTAGTAGCGTGAGTGTGCCTCAACCTTGAGGTTATGCTTTCAAATTACTGCACCCTATGACTTTTTGTGTACCATAATGAACATGCATTGCTTGCATGGTAAAAAAACATTGCATGAAGCATTTAAGCCCTAAAAATAGAAAGGATGTGAAGCATAGAAAACTGATCACCTACATACCTATTAAGACAAGAAATGATCATGATGAGTAGATACAGAATTCTGAGGCCAAGGCCATATTACCACTTGTTAAAATATATTTACATAGATCTCACAAATAATAAATTAATATAATCTAATAATTATTTCCAGTGAAGAATATACAAGAAGTATTGGAGTCAATGTCTGAAGCAGAGTTTCAAAAAAAATACCACAGGTCTAAGCCTTCACAATCTGATGAATTAATTTTCTATTGCAAATCAGGAAAGAGAGCTACAGAAGCAACTAATGTTGCTTTAAAACTTGGTTATTCTAAGTACTGTGATCTTTTCATTATGATTCTTAATTAATCTATTTTCATAATTTTAAAACCCAGTTCAAATTATTTATTCATACATTAAACATCATTTTACAGAAGTGATTTAAAAGACTGTCTTTAAACAGATTTATTATATTCTTTTCCTCATAAGTATAGTCGTATCACTCATTCATTAATGCCCTTCCAAAAAATCTGTCTCTTCAACTGTCACATGAACCTATATTTATACCTCACAACACATGCATTAAAATGTGTAATATATATTATAAATCAATAGAAGCCAGAGCCAACAGGTTTTTTATTTTGATTTATTGAAGTCTTATAAACTATTTATATAATAAGAGGTTTTGAAATTTCATAATCATAATTTTGGTGGTGCCAAAATCAAGCAATAATTCAATCTGTCTCAGACGATTAGCACTAATAAACACATTATTTTACAGGTCCAAAAAGTTTTTGCCTGGCTGGGATGGATGGAATGAAAAAAGTTAATGTTAAAGTAATCACTTGATTTAAAAAAATATTTATTATAAAGTATATCTTAATCATTGAAAAAGATCGTATGATTTGAAATTTATTGAGAATATTGTATTATACTCAAAACAAAAAAAGAGAAATCTTTTATCTTCTACTCTTTTACCAAAATCAATTAATAAAGATACCTATATGATTTTGAAATCAAGTTAATAAAAAGATTTAAATTTTGTGAACCTTTTAATTAGTAAAATGTCTACGAGGAGGCAACAGCTTTCTTAGGGGTAGGTTGGCCCTCTTTGAAACCATTGCGGAAGCGCCTTCTGACAATCTTGAGATGACGCATACGACCAGTTCCAGTGGTCTTCCTCCTCTTAGCCTTCACCGACCAGTGGTCTAAAAAGATACAGATATTTGATAACAAAATTTAACTGTTTGAAAGCTGCATCATAATGCATTTTTAATAAAAACCTACAGTAGGTTTTTATCTTGATAAAATTGGTGTTAATGTACACATGCTTATAAGCAATGTTAGTTAATGACTTTACAGTTGCATTTATCTTAGGATAAATTATATGTATTATGATTGTCTGAAATATGTAGCTTTCAATGGATTAGAATATCCACAAAATTTACCACATAATTCATATTGTTTACCTACATCTACAAGAAAGTATTAAATTAATTAAACACCTCCTCAATCTATGTAGGAATTTTCGTGTACAATTACCTATATATAACCTGTGAAAGAACCAACTACACGTTACAATTTTTTAAAAACTTACAAGAGCGTAATTTGGCTGCAGGGTATCCACACTGAGCGCATTTTGATTTTTGTATATGATAAGAAGATCTGCCACATCTTCTACATAGTGTGTGAGTCTTATTTCGGCGTTTACCGAAGCTTGATGTTCCCTTCGTCTGCAATCAAGAGTAAACAAACCTTAAAATTAAACACAATAACACAAAATATTATCACTCCGTAACAAATAACACTGAAATTAACTTAATTAATCACAAAAAGCACGATATCACAAAGAAATATCCATGATTCTTAAAGATTTATTTATTCATTTAAAAAAATACACTACCATTTTTGCCGAATTTGACAATGAAAGAAAGAGGTTAGGTGTTGCTACTTGATCACCCTAATAATTTTATTTATTGAATATAGAATGACAATTGACACTTGTTTATGTTACTTGTTAAAATAAATGTGAGCAACATTCCACATTTTAATATAAAACGGTATATACTGGCCTAAAGGTCTAGATACCAGGCCATAAACTCCAAAAAAAAAATGTATATATAAAACGGTATTGGTATGGAAATGACATTGTTTTAAAGTTTTTATATAAATTTAGTTTTTGGCCTGCTAACGAGACCTTTAAGGCCTAAAGGTATAGATACCAGGCCATAAACTCCAAAAAAAAAAACGATCCACAGTCATTTAATAAATTAATTAAAAAAACTGGTGTAACGATACAATATTATTTTGTAATTGAATAATTTTCTAGAATAAAAAATCAAATCAAATTGTGAACTTTATTTATTTATTTAAGCGTTTTTGAAGTTATACTTCTTTAGGCGCGTTATGAAAAATTGATGAGACTGAAATTTTACGATGCCCGCGCACCGTGACACAAAATTTACAGAATGAAGTTGCCCACAGAAGATGCTACGGCAATGGACATAATAATTTAAAAACAACATTCGAATCATAATAGAATTTATGTTACACTTAATGGAAGAGAATAATAATAAATATTTATTTATTTAATTTTTCAAATGTAAACTGAACTTTATTGACTATAATGACTCCTTTTCCAGTCTTTGATTATTTAATTGTAATTAATTATTTGCATGCAATGAAAAACTATTTTTAATAATGCCAAAGAAGTATAACTTCTTACGCGCGTACAAAAGTACACGCACCCTTTATAAGCTTGGACGAAATAGTATTATGATAATAACACCTTAAGTCTCAATAGATATATTTCATAATAATATCTAGATGTTAATGTGTATTACGTACAATGATTAGAAATAACACTGATTACAAATAATATTTTTTGTTTAGTCGCTAGTGATAGATTTTAAAGTTATATATTATTTGCAATTAATGATTATTTTTGCTTTATGCTGCAATTTACCATCACTATAACCAAAAATAGAACATTAACACAATTTTATAAAAAGATTAGTGGATTTTATCAAAAATCTTAACATTTTACATTTATATGCCTCAATTAATTACAATACCAATGATGTAACCTAACCACCGTTTGGTTTTTAAAATGCACGCGTAGGAGACAGAAGACAAAATACTAAATAATTAGACTTTTTGTGTAGTAAATGACAAATCTCTTGTTAGATTTTCCGTGTATAATTTGTGTTTTAATTCCTTGTTACGTGTTGTTTCTTGTTAAAGGCCAGAAAAACACTCCAACCGACCAATTTTCTTTAAACATTTTGGAGTAATGAAGTTAATACTTAAAAAAAAGGGGGGGGCCCTTTTTTCCCCCCGCAGAAAGTTATACTTCTTTGGCATTATTAAAAATAGTTTGGCTTTGTTCCACCTCCAGTTTTTGATGTTTCACAGCGATAAGATGACAACTCTTTTTTTGTATTCAATTTAGTGCACTTACACTGATTCATCAATTGTTTTTTGTCTCTTGTCCTTGTATTTGCTAGAGAAAAATTACATGTTTTGATTAAACAATGTGGTAATTTTTTTAATCAAAACATTACTCGATAATAATAATACAAACTGATAGTTAACCTCAATTGTAATGAAGCACTTAGGAAGGTTGATGAGCACAGTTTTTTCACAAATATTAATTAGTATTGGTTTAAATATTCAATTTAAATCACTTCTGATTATATATAATTCAAAAAGCATTGCTAAATTTCTTTGAAAAAATAATTAAAACTCCTTTATTTGTTTAAAAGGTAAATGACAAATGTCATTATGGTCATTCAAAATTCTTGGCATACGAACTTCACGCATATTCTATTTCTTTTTACTTGTAGATTGTCTTATTCCTATCTCGCTCGCGCACGCTATAATCACACTCCTAATTTTGTGTCACAGGTGCGCGCGCATTGTAAAATTTCACTCTCATAAATTTTTCATAACGCGCCTAAAGAAGTATAACTTCAAAAATATTAAATTCAAACAGATTTTGTATATATTTTTTGATAATATAGAAATTTAAAAATTCAATGACCTTTGGATATTTATTCTTTAACCAATTTAAAACACGTAGTGAAAAGTAATAATATAATAAAAACAAATATAAATTCAAAGTACATACTATTATATTTATTTTGTCTTAGAACGGGTGTGTTGCCCGGTGTCATTAATTATTTTCTACTTTGCGTCTTGTACAGTGTACACCACGGACAGAAAAGAAAATTATTAAAACTGTAAGGCATAATAGCTCATAATACATCTACAATAAGCAGTGTAGGGATAATATTGAAAAATTGCGCAATATTGTATTTTTTTTCCTTTTCTCAACAAAATCACTAGCATGGCTGCAGCCATAACTTCGTCGTCAGACATGTTTCTCTCATGAAAATATTGATGTGAATGGTTTGTCAATATCATTGAACGTTTGGATTCAAAGAGGGTATTCAATATTATTGCACAATAAAAATATTGTGCAAAATTATTGTAGATGTTTGGGCCGCCTAAGACAACAACGTGATACGTTACGTAGTGCGTTTTCCAATTACAGAGCATAATGCGACTCAGTGCCGCACAATGCCGCATTATGCTGAAGCTTAATTGGAACGTGAATTAGTTTTCAAATGCATCAGCAGAGTGCGCTGTTTCTGTAAAAAAAAATCATGGAGTTAGCAACCGCATTAATGTATAAATAATGTGGTAAACAATAATAATTGGTTGAAAACTATTTACGCTGATTTTGAGTAATATTTGAAATAATTTCTAAAAAAGTTATATTATTGAAGTTATACTTCTTTAGGCGCGTTATGAAAAATTTATGAGAGTGAAATTTTACGATACGCGCGCACCTGTGACACAAAATTGTTAGTGTGATTATAGCGTGCGCGAGCAAGATGGGAATAAGACAATCTACAAGTAAAAAGAAATAGAATATGCGTGAAGTTAGCAGCTATGCCAAGAATTTTGAATGACCATAATGGCATTAACCTTTTAAACAAATAAAGGAGTTTTAATTTATTTTTTCAAAGAAATTTAGCAGTGCTTTTTCACAAAGACCTATTGTTACTTAGTTAAAAGGTTATGAAACATACCAAGTTATTAAATTGAATGAATAATATAATAAAATAATAAATTATAATAGTTATTAATATTAATTAATAATTGAATAATATACTACATATTATTAAATTGTTTACGTTAAACATTAATTAATTTTGTTTTTTAACATTAATTATTAATAAATTATATTTAAAAAAAATAAAGAAAGCCAAAGAAGTATAACTTCTTACGCGCGTACATAAGTACACGCACCCTTTTTTTTTACTGAATCATATTTATCGAGTGCTCCGAGTTTAAATCAATCAATTAGTTCATTATCAAGTGATATATTTATTGAAAATATATATGATAATGAAACACATGAGTTATTTGAGCCAGTTTTCTTTATTTTTATAAGTAAGTAAAATCCTGTAAAATAAATTTGTTGACAGATCCGAATTTTAAAATGAAATTGTATTCATATTTTAAATGTGGAATATGTAGTTTGAAATACTACGACGATATATTTAGGTACTAACGATAATTTGAAATTTCGATCAATGCCAACTTAAAGAAAAAACACTAGTTAATTTTCTGTCACTGTGTTGGTATTGATCGCGAGCACCACGCGAGAGCACTACTTTTGAGAGTGCTCAAATGTGCGAAACGTTGCTGTAGTTGGAACATTCAACGTTGAGCATTATGCCGCATAATGCACTCTAGTGCTGTAATTATTGGAAAACGCACAATGTTAGTGTACAACTGTACATTTTATATACTAAATATAGTATATAAATAATAAGTAAATAATCTGACTAATATAAATAATAAGTAAATAATCTGACTAATATTACTAATAAGTAAATAATCTGTAATACCTGAGAAGAGAGAAACTGAGAATTGGCTTAAAGGTATAGTCCTTTTCATGAAAGAAGTCCCGCGGAGATTTTTGGAACTAAATTTGACAGGTCAGCCATGTTGTCGTTCGTCGATGTTATCAAGTTCGTTTATTGTGGTAGATTTTTGTGAGTTTTTAACTAGCTTAGTGCATTTTAAAGTTTGTTTACAATGCCAAAAGTTGTAAAAAGTTCGGCTCGAGAAATGATATTGAAAATAAAAGAGTTCTGTGAAGCGGAACAAAAGAATCAAGGTGTTTTCATACCACTAAACAATGTTCGCCGCCATAACAGGTACTTTTTAGAGTTGCCACATAATAATTTTTTGCTGTATTGATGGAACTTTTATGATATAAATTCATTTTTGCGACAAAATTGAACAAACACATAACGAATGAAACTAGGCAACTGAAATTAAAAAATGTATATATAGTTACATAAGCATTATAAACTAAAATTTACTATTATTTTTAATTGTTCATTATTTAATTGCAGGTAACAATTACAAATGAAGGTATAACAGCGGCGAGTACTTTGAAATAAATTGTCACCCCGGGGAAGAGTATCAATATAAAAAAGAACAATTATATCTACGGCTAGTGATACTGAAACAGAACAGAACATCATGCGATTACAGCGCTGCGTCTGGGGGACTTCTTTCATGAAAAGGACTATACCAGGATGCCATAAACTCCAAAAAAAAAAAAAAACGAGAAGCTCAGTTGAGACTTGAGAATTTAAAAAAAAATATTCTTCGAAAATTCATTAAACCCTCAACCCTGCCTAAGTTTGTGATTTAAAGAAGTACACTCACAGGTTGATATCATAACATTTTACATTACTTATAAGGAGTATTGTTTATTGATTACTCTACAGTTAAGGTAGGTTGACCGTTTATGATGAAATTGCAAATTTGATAACTGTTTGAAGACCTATATTAAATCCTTGTTTATGTAGTCCCTTATCAAATAAAGCATCACATTTTTTTAACAAAAAAATGGTATCCAATAACTTTTCTTTACATTTTAGCAATACAATAAAATATGGAACTACTAGATGTAATGAAAAATTTAACTATTAAAAATGTTGCTAATGAAAGTAATCAAAACTTTTTCAAGTCAATTGCTGCAGATATAGACGATGTACCAACTGAAATTGTTTATGCAGATTATTCAGATAAAATAATGCTCATTATTTCACAATACCAAAAAATTGGCAGTTTGTTAATGATTCAAAAGGAACAAGTGCATAGCCCATTAGGTTCAAATGACATTTATACAACAAAAGTAATTTTTGGTGCTTCAGGAGAAGAACAGCAAGTTGCAGCAAGACATCTGGCTGAAGCAATTGACATATGTAAACCACTTTGCATATTCATTAATCTTAAATCATATGACATTGAGACAGTCAAAGCTTGTAAAGATATCATTCTTGACTTGAAGAAAGAGGAAAAGTAACAATGTCTTTGGTAAGAAAAACGAATTTCAAAAATGTTAATAAATTGTATGGACAATTAATCATAGGACCTCCTGGTGCCGGCAAAACAACATACTGCAGTGAAATGTCAAAGCTATTAAGAAAACTTGGAAGGAAAACAATTATTGTCAACCTGGATCCAGCTAATGATAACATTACTTACGAACCCGATATTGACTTGCGAAATTTAATAACTTTAGAAAATGTTATGGAAGTGCACAATTTGGGTCCTAATGGTGCACTGCTGTACTGTATGGAATATTTAGAAAAAAATATAGAATGGCTTATAGAACAACTAAGAGATGAGCATGCTGCAAATTATATATTTGATTTACCTGGTCAGGTTGAGCTTTACAGCCATCATGAGTCATTAACAAATATTTTCTCAAAATTAGCTAACACTGCAAACTTGCAACTTTGTGTGATACATCTTGTTGATTCACATCACTGTTCTGATGCTGGAAAATTTATTTCAGCTTTAATGTTGTCTTTAAATGCCATGTTGAAACTAGGCTTTCCACACATTAATTTACTTACTAAAGTAGATTTACTAAAAAAACATTCAGATAAATTGCAATTTGGTATAGATTTCTATACTGAAGTTTTAGATTTAAATTATTTATTGGATTCTTTAGATACTGACCACTTTGCCAGAAAATATACAAAGTTAAACAGAGCCTTGGTGTCTATAATAGAAGATTATAGCTTGGTAACATTTCAATTAGTTAACATGTTTAAAGAGGAAAGTTTAATTAAAGTTAAGAACTCTGTGGATAAGGCTAATGGCTATGTTTTTAAAGCAGATGAAGGTCGCCATATAAACAGCTTGTTGGCCTGTGCTATGGGCATTCCAGATAAAACTAGTGATGTATAGATAGAATAACAAAAACTATCCAGGAAATTTGTGGCAGATTATTTCCTATTTAGTAACCACCCACATAATAAATATTCATGAACTAATAATCCTATTGAGCCTTAAAACTGCTCCTTTAACCATCAAATAGCAGTTTTTCTTGTCATATAGTAGTTTATTGGAATTATGTAAGTGTACACTGGCACTGTAAATTTTGTATAAGATTGTTTCTTAGTGTACTTTATATAATAGGGTAATAAACTTTTATCTGGAAGATGTTTTATTTCTTGAAAATTACATTAAATTAAAATTAAATGCAGCTTTTTATTTTGATTTGTTACAGATGTCTAAAAACAAAAAAGATTTGTATACAAAACTATTGGAAGAAGAGTTGAAAATAGACAAACTTTTAAATGATGACAAAAATCAAATTCAAGTCAAATTATTGCACCAGTATAACAATATTAAAGATGCAACCCAAATAGTTATAAATCACATTGCTAATTTAGAAGGAACAACCCTAACTGATATTCATAAAAAACTAAATCTTGAAGAATGAAATAAAACAAGAATTTAATGATGGAACCTTTTATTTGAAGACAAATACAACTCTTTACAAGTTAATTTCGTCCAATATTGTATTGTTCACAGAAAAACAGTTGTGAACATATTTTTATGAACTTCTAAGAGCAAATTTATGTAGTTATAAGTGTTTTCAAAAAGCCACAGTTCCATGTTGCTACTCAATTACGAAAAAGGTATGAATATGACAAATAGTTCTAATATATCCATATTATGTTGACAAAATATTAAGTGACCATTGTCAGCAAATAAGTTTAATTGGAGTAAAGGTATACTGTTGAATAATAATCTAAAACTATATGGAATATTTGTTTTAAGAAACATAAAATCTACCTTCCTTCTTGGAAACAGTACTACATTTAAAATATGTGACAGTTTATTTTAAATAGCACAAATACCGTAAAACAAAGGAAATTTATGAATAATATAATTTCCGTTCAATAAAATTGTTTGTAAACAGTGCCCATAGTTATAAACCGTCTAATATAAACATGCATCCCTTGAAATATAACCAACCCCTAACATGCTTTGACGTTACACATAATTCCTTAACAGAATGAATGTATTACATTGAAGTTTAAATTCTAACGCTACAATATTGTGTTTATTAATAAGCAAGCAATAATATATAAATGTTTATATAAGTGTGCGTCGTAAAGACGCGTGCTATCTAGTAGCTAATCCGCAATGAGCCAGCGGGAGCTGACCACTCGAAAGCTAAAACCTATCGCCACAGCGATAATACGAAATCGGTTTGCTTTACATCTTTAAGCGATCACTTTCAACTTGTGTTCGCAGTGTATGTGTTTTCACTAGTTCTGATCAAGTTTCCTTTGTTAAATCAATATGTTATTAAGGCAACATATTTGTCTCTGTTCCAGCCAGGGAATAAAGCATTCCAAATTGTAAAGTCTTCATTAGTTCCATTCTCTATTGGTGTCAACCATTCGGTACTTTACTTCGTGAACGTTTTCAATGGAATGTTACATTTGATGTTGAAACAGTATTTTCACCAACAGAGTAGTGTGATAAGACTTTGTCTTAAATATTTGTCATTCCAGCTAAATTTAAGTATAACAATATAACAAATTTACAAAAATACATATAAATTAAAGAACATTCGCCGTTTTGAGATTCCTAAAATGCATATAAATATATCACTAACAAATCTAAGTTATTCTATTCAAATAATACCCTATAGGATGTGGAAAGCTCAACACGCGAATGTTCTTTCACTTTCATTAAACGTCTATCGTTAGACTTATATCTATCAGTTTCAGACTCGTTTCAGGCTAATTTTAAGTCCCACAGACTAATTTCAGAGCACCAACCATCAATCAATAAATGCGATTTTAACACTAATTTAATTATCCTCCCACCACTGTTCATCAAATGTTGACAAACGAGTGCATACGAAAATAGATTATAAAGAAGTCTAGGAGGACCATTTCAACAATTGTAACAATATACCACATTGGAATAGCTTGCTGTCATCTACTATGAGAAAAACATGCTAATAATATCGAGAGCAAGTTATTGCAATGTTAAAAACAATCTCACATTCATTCAATAACGCCTAAATATACACAAAGTTCCTAAAAACAAGTCTGAATACGTTGGGTTTAACCCATGCAATCGAACGTAACTTATAAAGATCTTTTAATTAAGTGAATGTTTACCATAAAATAAGCCGGCCCCGTTGTACCAAAACTACATTTCATAAAAAATACATCTTAAACTAAGATCCAGAAATCAAAATATACATATTCAGTTAAAATAATCTACATCCATTGAAAATTTAAATTTCATAATTTATCTAGTAAAACATAATTTATTGTAACGCTAAAAATTCCTATCATAGAAGTATACATTTTATCTATGGTTAGTTGACAGTTACCTCAACAAAACAAAAATTGTACTTAAAAACCAAATTTATCTATGGTCAATTCACTTTAATACTGAGTTTAGATTACATAGGCTAAACCGAGCTTAAAAATAAGATATTTTGGTAAATTGTAAATATACTATGTGTAAATAAATAATGCCGACTCATATGCTAACATGCCATTTAAATGACTCAACTTGGTAATTTTAATAGCAAATATCACTTGTCTCATTAATGGTGGAGGTCATCTCGTGAACCTCATAGCTGTATTCATTGGTTTGTCATTGGATATTCATATTACTGTTCTTTTATTGTATCCTAAACATTGAGCTTGTCTTGTTTGGAAATAGCTTTTAATTCAGATATCACCGGCGCACTAAACAATTGATTCACAAACATTTCTGATCTATTTTTCAAAAGATCAGAAATGTTTGTTTAACATTTTCTCACTACGATAACAGATAACTGTGGACCCATATTCATAAAAAATTAATTTAATTCCACCATTTTTAACAAAAGTAAAGAAAGAGACAAAAGAGTTCTTTAGTTAACAGTGAAATTATACTTTTTTTTATGAAGTATTAGTTGTATGTAGAGAGAATGTCAACAAACCTTTGTGTAAAATAAGTCATCACAGATTTTTCTGAAATTACATGTTGCTATGGTAACCGCATGTTATTTTTTTTACATTTTGGTGTTTGATAAGTTTAGACAAAGGTTTGATCCCCTTATTTCTATACCTCTTATAGTTAAGTATATTTTAACTTTGAGGCTATCAACAAGGGATTTTACGCCGGCTAAACCCAAACCAGTCGCATTAAAAGCGAAAATCGCTTGTCACATCGATATTAATAATTAAACACTATCGTGTCAAATTAAAAAATCAGTCTCACCTTCGGGAAGTCTTTTAGATGTTTAGGCACGTATATTAGTTATCTTAGAGGCAACTTACTTATAATAACAGTTACATGGCTTCAGTTTTTGATTAGACACTGTGGTCATTAGCGATGATAGGTTAATCAAGTTGGCATAGATTTTTTTTAAACTAGCTATCCCCAAATAATAAACTAGCGGAATCTATTTATGGATAGCTGGCGATTTTCTTAGTAATTTTTGAGTCAAGTTTGAAATATTATTATCTTTGAAAACACAGAATCATAGAATTTTTCTATCAAATGCATTTCATAAACTTACGACTAGTAACAAATACGCCTGCTAATTTGTAAATAGAAACCGGGCATAAATTGACCAATCTTAACCAATGTCGAAGCCAACAGTGTCGAGAGCTTAAGGCTGTTGAAAATACGTGCTAAAATGTTGCCCAGACCTTTATCCAGCTAACGCCAGATCTTAATAGAATGCATCTAATAACAATAAAAAAAAACTGAACTATGGAAAAAAAGAAAATAAATGTTAAAAACTGTAAATAAATACATAAAAATTACTTCTTTTAAATAAAACAATTTAATTGGAGACGGGCGCATCCCCTTGACCGATGTGCTCCTTTTCAGATATGGATTGATCCTGTAAAATTATTAAGTTTTTTTTTTTTGTTGGTAATTTCAGCTTGAGGCGTTAAAGGCCCAAAGACACCTATAAATATAGCTAAAAATTAGTAGTATATAAATATAATTTATATAGATTACAAGTAATTGGCGAAAGCAATATTCATGAAGAGTAAAAAAAAAACTAGATTCGTTAGCTGTCAACGATAAAAGATTGTTTTTTTTTTAAATACAATTATGTTTTACTAGAAAACTGGCATAAACTATTGCCATTCAGAAACTGCAATTATGACAAAAGACCATGACGTCATATTAACGAATACTTTACAAGCATATCCGTTTTGGCCACAAAGGCTATCCTTTTTTTTTTCAAATTTACATGACATGGATACAAGTCTATTGGCCCAATTATTTTACGATAAATGATATTGGAACGATGTATTTTACGATGTATTTATCCATTTGTGACAAATACAAATTTAGTTAATAATATACCTTCTTATCTAAAGGTCCGTTGGCCTCTAACGATTGCGCTACATCAGTCTTAGCTGATTTCTTTTTCCCCTTTCCCAGATTTTTCTTGGGAATTTTTCCAGTCTTTGGTTTTTGTTGTTGAGCTCCTGTAATATTAATATAATATTATTGAATGGAACGAGCGGAATTCCAAACACTTTCGCTAGACATTATATCATTAAATCTTGTAAATTAATATTAAATTGTATAAAAACAGAATATGTTTACTTCAAAAATTATGTTTTTTTTAAATGATAGCGATCTGACAAAATTTTAACCACTTTATTATTAGTGGATTTAGATACGGAAACCAACGTAAAACAATTGTTGTGATCAAAAAAGACAACAACAGTCTCGGACATAAGTAAAATTTAAGACAGTATTAGGATTAGACAACCGAAGATGGTTTTATTTAGATTTTGTTTCAAAAGTGGACCTCTTTTTTTGATTTTCTTTAAAATGCACGCAATGTAAGGTGGTTCTTAAATTCTATAATATGTTTATTATGGAACATAAGATACAGGTATCACTTTTAATTAATAGACACATACCTTCACCATCATTATCGATGTTATCCTCTTGAGGACTTCCCTCATCGGCGAGAAGGTTCATATCATCAGATCTCACAGTTTTTCTGAAATTATCGAATAATATTTTACTGAAGTACTCTTATGTTAATAAATAAGAAATGTTAGATAATACTTTAGGTCATACAGTAATCACTATGTTACAAATTATTCAAATCTCATTAAATTGTGACACTGACATTTTTTAGCCAAATATTCTTAAATCTCGCGTCTTGTTTAAATTACTTTTAGTTAAAAATTAAATTTATAGTTTAATTAATAACATTTTGCTTCATTTAAATTTAATCCTGATTGTGAATATAATTTTATCATATTTTCTAGGTTATTTTTAATTTAAATAAAATCCAACAGTGTTATACAAATAGATACAAAAAGGTCTATCTATTATTTTAAATAAGCATCTTACTCCCTATTGGTTAGCCACAGAGCCTTTAAATTCCATTGGCGCTAAGCCGGGGTTCGACCCTACGACCTTCAGAGATCAGAGTCACCCTCTAAGACCACTAGGCCAACACTGATCTGCTAAAAAAAATGGACGGCCACTCACCCATTAACAGCAATAGTGGCTGGTCTGGCTGGCTCATCCGTGTCCCTTCTGACGCGTCGTCCACGCCCTCTGGTGCCGATGGCGCCGCGACCACGCCCACGACCGCGAACGCCACGCCAACCGCGACCGCTGTACGCGTTACGAGGAGGGGGCGTGTAGCCCACGTAGCTGACCTGAAATGTTATGTACGAATTAAAAAAAAAAAAACAATTGACAAAAATGTAACCTTAACAAGTCTATGTGACAGTATGAAAATAATAATTAATAATTAAAAAATCTATATTTAAGATATTTATTTTTATACGTCAGTCACGTGATACAAAACGGTCACAGATTATCCGAATCGACGAAACACACTACGTGCTTGTAAATAATATGGCTTCGCCTTTCATATCCTAATACTGTCTTGGACTTTAATTTCGTCAGACTGTTTTTGACCGAAATATAATATGTATGTATGAGTAATTATGTAATTTAAGAATGATTCAATTTTAATTCAATTAAGATTAATTGATGAATTTATATAGGATCTATAGACATTAATAAATATTTTGAAATGGTATCAAAATATTGTCAAATAGTCCATCACAGAGTAAACTCTATTAAATTATTCGACTTTGATTAGTTTGACAAATATTCCATGCAATGTTATATTTCCATTTGAAAACCAAAAAAATTCCTTCAGAATTGACATATAGTTCCAACTTATATTAACAAAAATTTTAATTCCCTAATTTTAAATTAATAATAATTGCCTCATTACACACCACTGGTACAGCTCATAATTTATCTTAGATAAATAGTTGAATAGCTGTTTCTTAGCACAAACCGCCAACACCAGCATTTCCTACACCATGCGAGCTAGTGTCAAATCTGCTCATAGAAAAGTCAATTGGTGCGATCAGACGTTGGTTGACCCTACGCAATACCTGCGGATATCTGGCAGCACGTGGTGGGTAGCTGCCGCTGCCCCACTGCCCCACAACGACTCCTGCAATCTCAAGCCTCGCCCCGCGACCCCTTCCCCTCCACCCGCCTAAAGGTTCACCCACGACCCCTACTAGTGGCAGGGGGGGCATCGCAAACTCCACCTCTAAACCTTCGAGGATTGCCTTGCGCATGCGTTCCACCTGTAAACAACAATTATAATAATTACCATTTTTATTTCCTGTTTTACAATAGTTAGTAGTTGCTATATTACAGTAACCAAAAATATTGATTTTGTTAGTAGGTTACCTTAGATTATGTTAGTAAAATATAAATTATTTATTTATGAATTAACAGGAACCCCGGTTTGGGTAAAGGCCTCCTCCAGAGATGCCCATTTTTGTCGGGCCTGTGCTATGGAGTGCCATTTTTTAAAACAAAAATTATATATTATAAAATCTTATAATGATTTACAACTAGATTGAAAAGGATGTTCACCAATTTAGACGTAAAACATGTCCGAGATATGCCATAAAAACGTACAGTACGAGAAAAGCGATAATATTTAGTGAAGAATATGAATATCTTTATGATGCCGCAATGAGATCTTTCGATATACCTTGACTACAGTATCCAGATGGTTATCGCATAGCTGAGCCAAGTGCTTGCAATGGTTTGCGCGATGCAAATTACGTTGGAGTAATTTCCCGTCGAAGTACAGCCAAGGCGCGGCGACTAGCCACGGCACGGGCGCACCGCAAGCGTCATTCGCCAGTAACGCCACTTCAGCGCCCGCCATCACTAGCGCTCCTAGCTGAACGCCACGAGAACTTATTCCATTCACCTGCAAAAAATTAAACAAAAGATTTTGGTATACTAAAGGATACTAATTATCTCTTAGGACTTATTTTTTTATTAAATCATAATTTTGGAAACAAATTTTTGTTACTCGGGTAAAATATATATTTTTTTATGTTTTTGATATTAACAATACATACAAATACCCAAATCATTCATTTTATATTGGTATAATAAATTTAGTAGCCTAGTAGCGTCAGGAGTAAATAAAAAATAAACATAAAATATTAATCATAACTAATAATTGTGGCAAATATATAGAGGGTTGGTGTCAGCAAATTTTTTCATAATATTCAACTTAATCTAAGTAAAACATCCTAAATTATTTATTAATGTATGTGACTTAATGTACACTTAAGGTACGATTGCACCCGTGTACTGAACTGTGCGGCAGCGTACGGCACAAATTTTTGGATTTAGTCGACTCACTCAAGCGAACAATAACGCGCACGCAAGTTCGCGTACACGGAACAAGTGGTGTACTCGTGTCTACGCGCACACTCGTTGTTTGCGAACAGTCTTGCTTCCAAAGCGAACACATTTAATTGTGCGCGCACAATGCCAAGTAATTTTTTTGATTCAATTGAAATTGAAGCTTAAAGACAAAATAAAAAACAAGGTGATACGAAGTCGTACAAAAATAAAAGATGTTGTAACTTATACAAAAAGGCTAAAATGGAAATGGGCCGGTCACATTGGCCGCATTTGTGATGGCAGATGGGTCAAAAAGACCCTTACTTGGAAGGGCCCAGTGGGAAGAAGAAAGAGAGGATGCCCACCGAAAACTTGGGAAGACGATATAAAAGGGATAGCGGGAAAAAACTGGAAAATTGTCGCATCAAATAGGGATAAGTGGAAGAATCTGGAGGAGGCCTTCACTCCATCGGAGGTCGAGTACAAGTGTAAAACTTAAAAGACATAGACTTACTGTAGTTATAGTGTACTCGAATAAAGGCTATTTTTATTTTTATTTTATTTTATAATGCCAAGTAATTTTTTGAATGATCAAGAATATATTACAAAGCACTATGTTTTCCTGCCCGTCCATATTAGCAACTGTCGACAAAAAAACTTCTCAGTGAACAAGTTCGTGGACAAGTGTGCAACACTGTGCGCGCACAAGTTCGACACAGCATTGCCGGTGGACACAGAAGGCAAACGCGATACGGGCGTAGTACGTGTTCTGCTATTGTTTTGCACAAAATATTTGGTAACTAATGTGCCGCACGATATTTTGGTGGAATCGTATCTTTAGAATCGTTTAAATTATGTTAATTTAGAATTCATTTTAGCCAGTTCTCAAATCAAGATCGTAGAGCGGACTACAAAAACATATGTCACTCTTAAATTGCTAAAGTTACATGATCATGCTCCTCATTACATTTCAAAAGAGTAATTTATCGTAATTAAATAAAAAAAATATTAGAAAATACAAAAAAAACCGAACATTTCACCTTTTCAGCAAAGCACGGTAAAATAAGAGAATGCACTTAACAGTATCAAGCTCCATAGGACAATCCTATGATTGGCTCTATAGCCTGGACAAAATCAAATTGGTTCTGTTTTCTTACATATTTTTGATTTTTTTTTTTTTATATAATGCTACATGTAATTATTTTTTTTTGTTCCCTGTTTTTTGTGTTTTTTTATTTTTTATTCTCTTTATGTTAATATTCTAGGTTTCGATATTTGTATTGTGAGGAACATGTTCTCTTTTTTAGTTGTGTTTATTCTAAGAGTCATTGTCTTCCATATAATTATTTAACAAATGTAACAAAATTTGTAAACCTTTTTAAAAGAGTAAGTGTGGGTTTCTTGCCCATTCTTCTCCACACGAACTACCTTTTGGAAGGGGCAACTAGTCTCTTTTTTTTTTTGACGTTCAAAAGTGCCATTTTAGATGGTCTAATTGAAATAAACGATTTGACTTTGACTTTGACAAGGTGAATCAAGGCAGAAAAAAATTAATACATAGCCGTGTAAACCGACCAGTAATGTTTGTCATTATGAATAAATAAAAAAAAATATCTTAACGCAACTTCACCAAAGGCGAACCAGCGTAGATACCGACGCCCGTGGACAGTGGAAGAAAGCTCGCAAGTGGGTTGCCGAATTTTAAAAATTTCTCTTTAATTTTTTCTTTTGTAAACAATTGTTGCCACGGACGTCGAGGTGACACTCACACAAGCATATACATAAGAAGTTTTTTACACAATTCATGCTGAAAGTATTTTAGTAGTTGAGAAAAAATATCTCACCGTCATCTCTTGCAAGTGCAGAGCGTTCATGAGATCAGTTGAGAAAGCCGTCGCTAAAAATGCATCCAATTCTTGCCGTCTAAGAATTTGTATTTGAGATGTCATAATGAATCTGTAAAACAATAGTTAAAATAAATAGTCCATGTTTTAACCGGGGCAACGACAGCCGCAGCAAAAGCAATAATGGGTGCGTTGCCGGGATTTTAGTGAGGAGTTAACTCTCTTTTTAAATAGTTGGATGTTGTTATGGCAGTTGGATGGCAGTCTCTGCCCGCCCAATTGTTATTTTTAAAATTATTGAAACAGAAATTCTTTTTGGACTTCTCATTGCATTTATTATCAACTTGTAGTGTCCAATTATTTTACTCTAAAAATAATGTTTATAGTGAAAACTTCTTTAGCGGAATTTTTTTGGGAATGGGTAAAAAATGTTAAACTCGCGTCAGGAGACGTGACCTGATCGAAAATTCGTAAGACGGATGGAGTAGACAGCTGGCGCTGCGTATTTAATGTAATATAAATTGTCATGTTTGTGTACGATAGCGCAATAAAAAAATATTGTATTCAATCACATAAATGATAGTACTTTTATACTGATAATTAAAGCAAGTCGTGCTAAATTATTCCCGAACCATTCCAAAATATCAAAAATGCACAACGTTAATATTCAAGTTTTCACTTCTGCCGGCAATCCCGGAGTTTTTTTTTTAAGTTTCACATTTCGAAGACGAAGACTTCTTGTTTCGCAGAGGCAGCGAAGTAATATTTTTTTCAAAATAAATTTATAATAGCAACTAAAGACGAAAACTAATATTAAATAAATATTATGTACCTTAATACAGTCGCTAAAATCAAAAGATGTTGCGGCACATAAGAGGTGTTGAGCATGAGAGGAGTGTCAGACTTCATGCACGATAGGAACGCACGCATACGACGGCATTTGTCATCTTGGGCGGTACTGCAAAAAACAATTACATACAATTTTTAAAACTACCCTCTTTGACACTATTGTGGCATTTTGTAATATTTTAACATTTGGAATTCAGCTTCAGATTCATGCAAATATTTTAATTAAGATTTTTGGAATGTCGGTGGAGTCGGCGAATTGTTTTTTTTTTGACGCTATTCTTAATGCCCATTAAGATTATATAGAAGCCCCTATTTGATGTCAATTATTTCTTTAATGTGATAAGATATTCATTATTGTTCCACGTGCCTCGTACGAACACGAATTATGATGTTCATTTTCCACCTTACCAGAAGTGTGAATTAATATTTTAGTGACAATTTAGTTGTTCTTTAAAATATTAAGTATTTCTTAATTTTTTTGTTGAATCTATTTATGTACTTATGTTTTCTATTTAACAATGTAATCCGTTTTTGCTTAATTTATTTAATATTATTATTTATTTATTACGTATTTTTTAATAATATAATATGTACGTGTAGCTGTAAGATTATACTTAGACTTAATTTGCCAATCCTACAAAAAAAAAAAAAATGTTTATTGTGTCTCAAATTTTACAATAAGTACATGAGTTGAGACAGCCCCCCTGAGTAGTCAGACACTTGTGTTGGGGTTGGCTCGCTACTTCCCTTATTTATACAATATTGAGACAGTTGTTAGAAAATAATTCGAAACAAAACCCAGCTAAGAAGCAGAGCCGGTAAAAAATTAAATAAAATGAAATGTAATTCCACGGAAGTCTTTTTTTTAGGTTAATATTATCACCTGTGACAAATATAATCTAATGGTAATTAAAACAAAATCGAAATCGGTTAATTAGATCCAGAGATTACCACCCTCTACAACCCCACAAACTTCACCTGTTTCTAATATTAGTATAGACAAAACCACTTTCCTGACTGTTATAATAATCTAAAGAGTATTTAATAAAATTCAAAGTCAAAACTTACCCAAACCAAAGTCTTTGCACGGTAGGCACAGGCCAGTCGAGTACAACGCCCGGTACAATCTCATGACTTTTACCCGGATTCACTCGGGAATAAATCCATTCTGCCACTTGTACTGTACAAGGTCGCTCATTTAATGATGTACTTGCTGTTCCTTCCTCTGAAAGTTTCAATATTCTAGATTATAGCCATGATTTAAATATTATTCGCAAATTATAAACACAAGTTTCAACTCTGTAAAAGATGTCAGAAAACAGCTTTTTAATTTTCTTTGGTTTTTAATAGTGTTTACAAAAATCTCAATTACCAGTTATCTTTCTAAGATTTGTATGTAAGTATGTTTGTAACGAATTGGCTCAAAAAGTACTGGACCGATTTTAGAAATTCTTTCAACATTTGAATGCTACATTACCACTGATTAATATAGGCTATATAATTGTAAGAAAAAAAAATAAGGATCCCTACTAAAACTACAATGGTACCCAAGGTGTAAAAAAATGCCTATAAAATATATTTCATCGTATGCGCTGCGAAAACGATTGATGATAGAACAATTTTTCCACAATATTAATATCAAAATCTACAAAAATTAAAAAAAAAGTCCACCCATGCGAAACCTGCACGGGCCGCTAGTCTTTTAATAATATTAGTGATTTGTCAGTGATTTGAGTGCAACCACTTTATTTTCTAGTAAATTTTTTGTTTTTTACCTTTGGCCTTATGAGCCATGAATCGATGGTGATGCATATTGTATACAATGGCATATACATTTTGTCGAATCGGCCTGTAGAAGTGGTGAATTGATGGTATTTCTCTATGGTTATCGTCTTCCATGAGCACTGGTAGAGTAATTTGTCTATGGGTTAGTATTGACAGCATCTGTGGGTGCATGAGACCACGTGTGTGCCTTTCCGCGCACGTGCGTAGTACTTCAGCCGGTGCGCATGGGCAGTTGTCTTCGCTTTGCAAGTGCGCGCTTATTGTTGGTACTCCCTGTCAAATATGTCAATTGTCATTATGAATCACAGATAAAGATGCCAAGAAATAAACTAAAGAGCCAAGTGTCGCTAACTTTATATACCTGCACCATGTGGATACTTTACAACGTTGACTGCAATATAAAATCCTGCCATAATTAGTAGATCAAGTTATATATATTATTATATAAGTTATACATATATAATATTTAAAGTGTCATTAATAAACTTAAAACTATATTAACTTGTAAATCAGATGGTCAATCCTATGATAGGTATCAGATTCTATTTAAAATAGAAAATTACTATTTAATTATTCAAAAAGATTTAAAATATGACCACATATATAAAATAATAATCTATGTATACACATAGAACTATTTAAAATATAGAACTTGGATTTTTATTCCAATAAAGAATCTTTATCAAAAATCACTTGCTTTATAGGTAATTCCTGTTAAGAAAATTGTGAAATAAGAACGAAGATCACACCTCCTTGGATGGTCTGTCCACTTTTTCAGTGGGCTTAGCCACTTGCTTCGTGTGTGTGTCTGCTGTTTCCAAAGACATCGCCGCAACGCCATGACTCAACTCATGACAATGTTCCTCTAAGCTAAAGTCTGCGTTTATTGACGCGTTAATTGTCGCCAATTTGTAATCTTCCAAGCCTTTTTGCTGTAAACATTAAATTTTGACAACCATTCGAGTGCAAAACAATGGGTTAGTAAAATAATGAAACGGTTATGGGATGAAAAACGGTCATGTTCTAAACGGTTTACTAATATCGATTTCAAAAGCTATCAATACTTGACAGATCTCAAAACTTGATTCAATGTTCACTGTTTAGAATATGAAGATTCACGTGCGGACTCCGTATTTAATTTGAAAAGTATATCTAGAAAGTTCTACGTAATTTAATTATTTGCATCAACAGTTCATTAAAATGGTAAAATTAAAAATTGTATTAAACGCGTACAATATTTGAAATAAATTTTAAAATTAAACACATTTGAGACACTAACTTGTTAGGTTTTGTCCAAAAACTAAGATATTTTTTTATTTTTAAAGTTTAATAAAAAGGGAGCGTTCAAGTATTATGTAACGAATTTTGAACTTTTGTAAAACGTTACGATGCGGGGCGGGGATTGAATTGCGCGTTAATGTTAATATTATTTTCGACCTTCCAGTACTTTACACCACATAATGGTAACTTTTAGGTATAAAGAGTCACTAGGTGGTCACGAAACGTTGTATTATACTTGGGTACAGAAAAACGTTACGGCGCGTGAGAGAGAGGAGAGTGTCAATAATCTTCAAAAATTGCGTGACTTGAACGCTCCCAAAGTTAAAAATAAAATTTGGTATATTTCTCTCTTATGGTATGTTGTGGCCAGTTCATAGAAAACACCATTTCAAAAACCAGACACAAATGAATTGTTAACAACCCATTTTCTAGAATGTGAATCAATGGTCTGAACTATTATTGTAAAATAAAAAAAAGATATGGCTATGACTTTGATAACTGTATTAGACGTTGAGTTCATAATTTCCTAATATAGTGCAAATACATTATTCTTACGTAGAACTTTCGCTTCGAACAGTTCGCGTTAAACTTAAATAACAGCATTTTAAATTACTGAAAGCAAATTCATCAAGTTATTAATTTCAATAATATTATTGAATAATTGTCGCAAGCATGCTAAGTGAAAGGATTCCGTACGTGTAGTAGAAATAAAAAGCACCCAGCAAATGGTATTCTAGTGAGTGAAGCCAATTATGAGAATGAAAAGGCGTGGATGACCACAGCGGAATATTATGTGAAGTTAACCTCATGTTCGGATGATTCAGTTGCCAGTTTCGAGGTGTCCATATCGGATGAAGTTGATTGCAGATTTTGGTCTGGTTTTTGGTTCTTTTTGTTTGGTTTTGGACGACGACCTGAGAATAAATTATTAATTTTTACACATAAAAAACTTCAATACAATTACATGGTGAAGCATACTGCCTTATCGCAACTTATAAATGAGATTTATTTATTTTTATATGTCATATGTCAAATTATCCAACATCATAACTAAACAAATAATGTATAATACCTGCCAGCATTGTTGCTGGCATATAACAGGCTCAAAATATTTCTGAGACAATTTTGCATATATAATACAAAAATAATCTTACCAGATGCAGTTCTATATTTTAAAAATCCATCTTTGGTGCCATTGAAGTAATACTGTACGGCTTGCTTTAGTTTTGCAGCACGGAGATCATTGAGGTCACCAAATACCTCAATACATGCAGCATCTATGTCCGATGATGGTAAATCATGTACGAACTGGCCTATTGTTTTTATTAAGTTCTCAGGTGGCACTTGTTGCTGAAAACCCAATTTAAATAATATATAACAGATATAACAGAAGAATTAGATATGTCTTAAGGTTTTCTTATGATCATCAGAGATGCATGAATTTTTAATAAGTTTTCTCCAATGAATACACATAACAATACTATTTAAACATTCTAATAAATACCTTCTTTTGATTTATTCCAAGACGTTTGTAAAAGTCAGTCAAACCATTTTCAGACAGAATCACTCCGCCTAAAAGGGCTGCGAATAGGCACAATCGGTCTTGAGGCACATCAAGTACTTTAGGAAGTTCATGAACCATGTATTCCTTAGTTTCCAATGAAGACTAAAAAAAGATAAAAAAAGTAAGACTCAAATGAAATAAAAGAGACTTGAATTCAGAAACACACAATTTACTATTAATGAGAGTAAGGATTAAGAATTTTTGATTTATTATACATCTTCCCTTAAAAGTCTCACAATGTGCAGTTCACGATGGATTAAATGTAATAAAGTAAAAATACTTACCCTGTATGTTAGCTTTAATTGCGATGAACTAAAATATCTAGGAGGCTGGAAAACTAAATATTCACCAGAGCAACCCACTAAACCAGCATATGCCTTCTCTCGACATAAGCCTACTACTTCTTGACAGTGGTCATCTGATGACACCATCTGTAATGATAATTGTTTATAAATCACCATATAAACATTTATTTAGACATATGTATATCCATTTTTAAAAATTGTTTGAGTTTATTATCACAATTTAATAAATAATTAGTGGCTGACTAAGTTGTCAACTAGGCAGCATTATGAGCAATTGGCAATAACAACATTTTAGATATTAAATTAATGTCTTTGTAAAGTTATTTTTAGAGTAAAAAATGGTGACCATACTTACAATGGGAATATTGAGGTATCTCAAAGCAGTTCTAAGGCAAGAGTGCAATCCAGTTGGAGGTACCCACCACACTTTTGGTGGAGGTGTGCCCTTGGTCACAATATGGCGGAGAACCTTTAAAAATTTGTCATGAGCAAACAGCTATAGAAATGTATAACTTATAAATTATTAAAAAGGAATTCCAGAAAAATAACAAGTGAGCCTTGCTGCACTATATGACTAATTTAATCTATAAAAGCAATATTAACTACCCACAGTAAACTAAAATTTATAATAAATCTTTGAAAAAGAACTTTGTTTTTCCAAACTTACAGAATTGACTCTCTGTCTGTGTGTAGCCTGTGTTTGGATCCAGTGTTGTGGTAAGGCTGGAGGTGTTGGGTGAGCTCCATTAAAACAAACACATAGGGATACTTGATGATCAGCAAGGGCCTGTGCCAATGTTGTTAAAAATTGTACACATCTTGCCCACTGGCCTCCGCATGCCCAGTCTAAAACAAATATATGAATTAGTTAATAACCCAAAAAAATAAATTATTTATTTTACATTTGTTGATATATTATTGGAAATGTTATTATTACCCGAGAAGTAGCCACCGTACAGACGATCAAGACATCCTTCAGCATCGAGCACTAAACGGAAACCACCTGGATGGGTTCTGGCGATTCGAAATAAATCCACACCGACTCCTTCATTTTCTAAAAACGCCTGTAAATCTTGTATGCCCATATTTACTGGCACCTATACAGCCTTACAATCGTTCGTTCAATAGTTCGTTTCAACTAATTGATTGATCTGCAAAAAAAAATCAAGTATTACCTTTCCCTAATAAACTTCGATGTAACCTTTCTATGTAATAAAAAGCGCTGGATTAATACGAATAACAGAAAACAGAAAAAAATTAATGCATAACCGGCACGTTACTCGGTTAAAATTAAATACAAAAAAAATGGATGTCTACATCTTTTGTATTGTTATAAATGGTCCAAGCAATGTCAAGTAATTACAAATGTGATACGAACCTTAATATGTAACCATGCCACTTAAAAACTACGGCAGCCGAAAGTTGGAAACGGAGGCCATTTGTAATTTTCAATTTTATAATTTTATAGTAATCCCTTCCCTTCTGAGTATTATAGAATAGGTCAAGTAGATAGTGTATATGATACAGACTGCAGCATTTAGCAAGGATAATTGTTGTTAAGCAAGCTGTCATAGAGGATATAAATTTCATATAAATTAATATCATCATCATCATATGAATTTCATAGGAAGATATCTCTTTAAGAAATTAATTTTTAAATTATTACTTCTTCTATAAAAGAAAACGCTTAGTAAATATTTGTTTAGAGATCAAAGTAAAAAACTCGACTTAATTATTAAAATTTATTTCTTTAATTTTGGGGTGAAAGGAACTGTATCTTGACTTTTATGCAACAGAAAAAATAGTTATAACTTTTACTCTAGTCTTGTACTCTTTTATATAGAATAATGTACTGTGTTGTGTTGTGTCAAATATGATAGTAAGAACTAAAATAGACACTAGACAGTGACATATTTTATGAAAATTGAAAACTCGTACCCGTCCCGGACCCCGCGCCTCAAGTGCTTTTCAATGAATTTTCTTTAAGCAAACGGGGATTTTCAGTTTTCACTCCTATATCTTGACTGGGCGTTGTGATATAAAAAAAATAAGAATGTGTTTTTATTTTTACATATCATAAGTCATATATGATTTATATTATTTAATTAAGTTGAGTTTAATGAAGAATTGAATAAATAAGATGCAGTTATAATTATAAAGTTCCGTAAAAATTATTGTGATTGATTTTCCAAGAAGGTTGAGGCTCTGAAAACCAGTAATGCCGGAGCAAAGTAACGATTACCGTGTCGTTGTTTTTGGAGCAGGAGGAGTGGGAAAAAGTTCACTCGTTTTACGTTTCGTTAAAGGTACCTTCCGTGAATCTTACATACCTACAATCGAAGACACATACAGACAGGTATGAAGTTCATAGTTAAATTTGGAATGTTTAAATTTTTGTTAAATATTTGTTTATTCCCTTAACTATTCAAACGTTTTCATTAGACTTACTCTGCCAAAAGCAACTTGTACCATAGGTACTAGTGTTTTTCATTAGTATTTTTATAGATACTACCAGTTAAAAAAAAGTACCAGTAAAACCTGCAAAACAATTCGCACTTAGAATAAAAAGCTCAGTAATTGAATATTAAAGATCACATCAATAATAATTACACACATAGTACACAATATTGTAATAAAAATAAATACTTATACTGAAACATTATTTTGTAAACATATTTTCCAATGAATGAAAAAAAATGGCTTATTAGTTTTTAATGCATAGCAATCTAGATAAAAATTTTCATGAATATAAATTACATTAAAGGGTAATATGAAATTGTGCCAAAATTATTTTGGCACAACATCAGCAGCTATGAAACTTCCATAAATAATAACTTGGGCAGACATTTGTCCTGCCTCCTGAGCCATATATGTAGTTTGCTTTTCTCAATAATTAATTATTTTCATAATACAGTGTAAACTTGTTATAACGACATTCATTATAACGAATAAATGAGTTTTATTTATTTGGTTTAACCCAATACCCATTCATTAATTCTTCTCTCCCTATAGCAAAACCTCTCTATAACTAATCATAATGATCGGTCCCTTGAAATTCGTTATAAAGAGTTTACACTGTATATTGAATACAAAATGATCTTAGTTTCTAGTCTAGTAGTCTACTTTTCTCCATTCATATACAGAAATATTTATTAATTCTTTATTACAAAATTTTCAGTTTATTTAAATACTTAAATTTCTCTACATTAAACTTATTTTTAATTAATAACTTTTCAGGTCATAAGCAGCAACAAAACAATATGTACTTTACAAATTACGGACACAACAGGCTCACACCAATTCCCAGCTATGCAGAGGTTGTCAATAAGCAAGGTACTTCTTTTATATCTAAACAATTCTTAGAGGATTGTGTAAGCACAATGTCAATGTTTGTTTTTTTTAAATTAATTTAGGTTCTAAATTAAATCTCATCTTAAGCTTGTTTTGGCTTAATGCTGTTATAGAATTAATAAATTAATATATTCTGCTATACATATATTTGTGAGTATGGTGCTAGAATTTGAGGTGTTTAGAGGATTATATGTTTTCGTTTTGTGTGTGATAATATAATGTCCTAAAGTTCTGTAATACAGGGTCAATGATTGTTATATTATTGTTAAACCAGACACTTATTAATTTCTATATCCCAGGCAAGTGATATGCCAATATCTAAACCAGGATCTGAAACATATTAAAGTTTAGGCGCGAATTTTTGGAGTATTATAATTTTCACATTTATACAATTCAATAATAACCAATGTTTATAATAGAAGCCATTGTACTCAATGAAAGTATCAACCCTTTTACAGTGAATGTTACAGAGATAAAATGCCTCAGCTTGAAAGAGCTTATTTAGAGCAAAAACCCAAGTTACAAAACACATTAATCCAATAGAAAAGCAACACATATCATATTGCTTTTCTCAATATTAAGAACTGCAATAAGCAACATATAACCATACTGAATATGTTTATTTTATCCTCCATATTAACAATTGCCGTCTAATTTTTTTTTGTAAAATTTCAAACAAATTTAATTCTTTGTTACAGGGACATGCCTTCATACTTGTATACTCAGTAAGCAGTAGGCAGTCATTAGAAGAGTTAAAACCAATATGGCAAACAATAAGAGAGATAAAAGGTACCGATCTACCAAATATACCAGTGATGCTGGCAGGTAATAAGTGTGATGAGAGTCCCGAAATAAGAGAAGTGTCAGCAGCCGAGGGTCAAGCACAAGCACAAGCATGGGGTGTTTCGTTTATGGAGACCTCAGCAAAAACCAACCATAATGTTACACAGCTGTTTCAGGTGCATTTGTATTTTTTACTTGATAATTTTTGACTAATTGTTATATCGACTATAGTCTTCCTTAATGACTGCACTATTCTCTATTTTATCTATGTATTCTCGTCTTCTGTTTGATTCACTCCCTCACTTATTATTAGATTTAAAAACAATTAATGTTATAAAGGTTTCTCAAGCTTTGATCATACACACCCTGTCCTAACAATAACAAATAATAAGATATGTATATGCAATCTGGCGTAGTAGTTCGGAAGTTATGCGATACATATAATTACATTGTGCGCAAAAAATGAAATTGTCGAAGCAAATGTCAAGTTGTTGATATTTTAATATTCCGCTCTTCGAATTCAAGAAAATAAAAAATCATTAAAATCGGTCAAGCTGCTTCGAGTCATAAATGTTCTACCTATATGTATATATTTATAGGATCATCAAATTTTATCCACGAGAGTTGTAAGTTAATACACCTTTTAATATACCGTAACTATTCACAGGAGTTGCTTAATATGGAGAAGAATAGAAACGTATCGCTACAAGTGGACGGCAAGGGGAAAAAGAAAAAAGAGAAAACTGTTAAAGATGGCGGCGAAGGATCAGCAAGTGGTAGAGAGAAATGCCTACTGATGTAGTTACATATATCATTTTCTTTCTCAATAGCAACATAGTGTGATACAAATTTAATATGTTTGAAATGTTATATGACATAATGTTGCTGTGTCATTCTAGTCATTGTTTTAAAGCATTTAAGTAAGTCATTATGCCTATTAAATAATATATTATATATTTTGCTATATAAATTAACCTTATTTACACTAGTTATTAACGATTGGAACGCAGTCGCGTTCGTTAGTGAAAATACAACGAAATCAAGTCTATAGGACTACTGTTAATTAATATATATGCTATTTTTTCTTTTTAAGTACCAAACCCATAGACAAGTGAAGAGTTTAAGACTTGTCTATAATTTTATTGGCATTTCAGATATAGAGGATGGGCATTTAAAAAAAAAATTATCCTGTTTTTTTACCTGGACTTGATATAAAAAGATCGCAAAAAGTAGAGACGCTTCTTTCGTTTATTTTTTATTTATTCGTTTTGATTAAGCTTCAGTTTTTTGAATTCATTTGAATTGAATGTTCGTCGTGAATGTTTATAAAGTTATTTAAATATGACAGCTGACAGCTGACAATTGACAGCTTCTCATCCTCTATGTTTATGATGAAACGAAAATAGGCTTTATATATGATCTCATTTTGTGCATTTTATTTTATAAATAAAATAAATTGTTCCTATGCGGCTATGTTGCTTGTATTTGCAGTACCAACGAATGATCTGTCATTGTGAGTAAAATGTGCCAAAATATGTTTTTCACGTAAAAGTACCTTGATTTTTTTCTATAACTGGGAGTAATACAAGGAAACGATGTCACTTCGAAAAGCCTTGTCTTCTATATGTACTCTGTATATATATTTGTATATATTTTATTATGGGAAATATGCATGTCCAAATTTATGATTTAAGAGAATTTGTCTAAAATATTTTATATTTCCCCTTTTTATTATTTCGTGTAATTATCCTGTCATATAACAATAAATGATTTTTATTTCAATTTTGCGTGAACATATACTTTGATTTAAATGTTTGCACATCCACGGTGCGGTATATGCGGTTTCAAATATATTAACACTATATTAAATTATAAATAAATAATTTTGTATAGTACTTCTGCGCGTCTTTGTCGGAACCATAAATAAAGTTGAAAAATCTACACGATTAGTATTTTAGTGTATGGAGACATTGTTTACCCTCTACTAACGTAATTATGATTTTGATTAGGTACCTTGCTATTAAAGTAAAATGGAAAGAATTAAAACCGAATATGGTTAAATATTAGAAGGAAGGTCTAAGAAACTCAACCAAATTCCAATATTGTAGACTGAAGTAGATTTCTTGTATACTCTCAGGTAATTTTATTTTCAATTTTGACTATTTATATCATTAACAAAATATTTGAAGTCAAGTAATTCTTGAAATTTTTCTGCATTACTACAGTAATAAGATTCGTTTATAAACTTCGGTTCTAGGTACTTTTCTCATTAAAATTCATCTAAGTTCGTAAAACAACTCACAATGGCACGCGTATGATATTTTGACTATTTTAAAATAATAAATTTAGAGAATATAATGTAGCTATCGCTAGTCATTAGTGCACTTTATTTATATCGTTCACTAACATATCTAATTAGAATTGTCCATAAAAGTTTATCTAGTCGATTACAATTGTATCTCGGTCACAATATGTTTGCCATACACGGACACGAAACCCCTGCATATGTAACGTTGATAAATGCGATTTGGGAAATGTCTTCGACAATATTATTACATTGTGATCTTGTTCCTGACGTATATAGTAACAAGGAGTGAGATTTCGAAAATAAGGATGGTTAAGAAAGTGAAATTATTAATATCAAATTTTTTTATTGTAGTAAATTCAAGATTTTTCTTGTAAGCGAAATAAACACACCGGTTTCTATGATTTGTCTATGTTCTGAAAATTATGTCTATCGCCAGGTATCAAATATCTAGTTAATTTATAGAGAAAACGTGATTTTGACAGTCATTAATTTAGATATACGATACATATATGGACATAGTTTATGTTGTAACGTTCACCCAATGGCAACATACTGTGACCGAGTAGTATGCGAATAGCGAGGTTATAGCCTTATAGGTATAGAGCCGTTGAAACGTGGGCGGCACAAAGGCATTTTAATTTTGCATACCCACCTTTATGTACCCTTAGTTTTCTAAGTAAGCAAGAATATTTCACTGATTTTTTCTAATATAATAAATTTAAATTCACACGCTTATATATATGTATGTATATCAAAATATTGGTAAGTGGAGTTCTTGAAATTATTTAATAATATTTTGAATGGGTGAAGAAATGTATGCATATCGCATATGCAATATTTTTGAAGTTATACTTCTTTAGGCGCGTTATGAAAAATTGATGACAGTGAAATTTTACGATGCGCGCGCACCGTGACACAAAGTTAACAGAATGAAGTTGCCCACGGAAGATGCTACGGTATTGGACATAATTTAAAAACAACATTCGAATAATAATATAATTTATGTTACACTTAATGTAAGAGAATAATAATAAATATTTATTTATTTAACTTTTCAAATGTAAACTGAACTTTATTTACTATAATGACTCCTTTTCCAGTCTTTTATTATTTAATTGTAATTAATTATTTGCATGCAATCAAAAACTATTTTTAATAATGCCAAAGAAGTATAACTTCTTACGCGCGTACATAAGTACACGCACCCTTTTTTTTAAAAAAAAGGGTGCCATTTTGATACTATTAATTTCAGGCATTACCTACCTACTATAACGTTTTTACCAAATGTTAACAAATATGAGATAAGCTTCTTGCTCTTATTTTTTTGTGTGGCAACTATAAGTCGCGAGATTTACGCGCGTATTTTTTTATTTATGGCAGATGACAGATCGAACCAACGTCGGTAAAGAAGATTTAACAATAATCGTAGACGCTTAACTGATGCGATAAAATTCTTTAATTAAATTTAAATTGATAGTATTTATTGTTATTGAATCTTTTGACTTAAAGGTATACGCGTGTGAATTTAAAAGTTTAATTTTCATAATATTTGGGCACATGTTATAATTAAGATTATTATACATTTAACAAATTATTGTTACTATATTGTTGTAACTGGACCAATGTTGTTTAAAGTTGTTTGATGTTTATTGGTAATCTTTGTTATTTCAATCTTCTGCTTGGCCTCTGACGGATACCATTGTGCGGTCGGTCTTCGCTAAGATTCTGCTGACTCATTAAGAAGAATACAAGTCTGTGACCCTTGGCATAATATACCGTACTTAAAGTAAACCCCGGAACGATAAGTCGTTTAATCTTAAAGTTGTTCTATGCGTTTTAAAATCGAACCCATTCAATACTGAAAATGCCTTTAACAATTCATACTAGTATATCTTCTAAATGTGTAGGCATTAACGAATTTTATTCTTAAAGATAATTTTTATCTCGTCTCCTGTAACAGTTTCAATTTCTTCTTAAAACCTACAGATGTTCGAATGGAGAGCTGCTCACTTAGCAACGCATTATTCTTTGATGTTTTCAGCACAACTATTGTTTTGTTTCCGCTTAAGCATTGCATTTAATATTGCCTACTAAGAAGTGAGCATTCAGCTCCTTATTTTTGGCTTGCTAAAATATGGTAAGTCTGAATCGTAATTCAGACTGTTGAGACGCTAAGTTAAAGTAATTAAAAGGTCAGGATCAACTTTATTAATGACAAATACATTTGTAAATTTCCATTATCTGTAAAATAAGTCTACAAGTAGTGTAGTCAATGAGTGAGCTTATCAATTTCTTACTTTCATGGGTGGGTACTACAACATTCCATAGATAATTAAAATTTGTGGGTACTTGACAACTTCACTTTTAATTCCCATGGAAGTAAGACTATTCAAATTGTCTTACATATTGAATAAAACTTCTCTAAGGTGCAGAATAACGAATATGGCAATAATATTGAAATAGTTTCAATTATATAAATCGATTTTGTCTAAATTTTTAGTAGTGAACCCAATTAGGGAATTCTTTAAATTTAAATAGTTCAAAGTTTACTATACTATGTTTACCTCCTTGCCTCAATTAGATAATTCGAGATTGTATAAATATAATTACTTACTGGAAGACTTATTTCTACTCTTTCTAAATTTTGTTAGATTGATAATATTGCTTCTAGAAACTTTCAAACCTCACGGTTTATTCACGTTTGTATAATATTAGTTTTAGATCCTTAGTTGTAGTGTAGGTGGACGTAGGCGCCTCAGGGACACGGTTAAAGCTTGTAAAACGTGGGACGGAAAGAGAATTTTTAGTTGGGCGTCTTTTGAGCGATATTCTTATCTTATAAAACTCTCAAGCATTCGTTAAAAATAATTCTATTAAATTCCAATGATGAAGCGTGGGAATATACAGCAAATAAGTTTGGACATTTTACTCGACGCACAAAATATAAATAATGTGAAGACATGATTTCTAGTATGGATTATGTGAAGGCGTTCAACTAAGTTTTTGGGAGTTCGTCCCACGTGTATGGAGTGATGTTGTACATAATGTTACGTTAAAATGTTATTTATTACGAGGTTGCGAATGTTTGTTGACCAATAGCATAGATTAATAGAACTCGCTTCATACTTAGGTACTGGTGTATCAAGAAATAATGCTTCTTGTATCTGAACCGAATATCTCAATTACCTAATATTTTTTAATTTATCTTGTAACACTTTCTCACTAAGGCATCACGAAATAAAATATTAAATATTTTTCAGGTTTTTTATTAAAATATCGTTATCAATTATGCATTAGATTCACAATTTTTATCACAGTTACATAAATATATATAGTGAAAAATACTAAAAAACCTAAGATTAAATCATAGTTTATTGCCTATGGTATGGCAACACATTAAGTAGCAAAGTGTGCGTTCCTGTCCTCATTTATTGAACAAATAATACATAATTCAGTTCATAGAGATTAGTTTCTTGCCCGAGTATGTACTGATTGAGCAGTGATTTTATAAAATGGTGACTATATAAACGCAATTTAAAAAAATAAATAGACTATTTACGTGTATGTACGGTGTCTATATACATCAATAACTACTGAACAGATTTTGATGAAGTTTTTAACTGTTTACGTTAGAATATACAATAAAATAAATAATATCGATACGACTTAGAGCTTAGAAGTCTAAATACTGAACTTACTCAAATATGCAATTCATTAATATCCCATACATACCGGTCAATTAGTCGGTTCTAAAATCTATTTAATTTTCTCCGTATCGGTAACCATTGTATACATTGCATTTATGTTATTTAGTTTGTCTGTAGGGGTTTTATTCTAAAATACGGAAAACTCGAAATATCAAGAAAATCCAAGTGAGCTTTGATTTAAATCTAACCAAAATATTTTTTGACAATACTCAGGCCTACACTAAAACTGTTTGAATAATGTTATTTTATGATGCGTCCCCACTCCCACCATGCTTTCTTTTGATTGAATCCTGATTAAAGCTAGACTTAATGCTAGGAAGCCTTCCAGTGCTGGCTGATCTTTTCATACCCTGAACGGGTTGACTTTGACTAGAATTAGTAATGGGCAAATTTTGATTATTTTGACTAACAGTCAATGCTTTGGAGCACAAATCTAAAAATCTATTTAAGGTTTCATTTGAGATTCGATCCCCTGCCTGAACCTGTTCCGACTGCCTTTGAGGTTCATTTCCGTTTCGCTGTTTTAGGGCAATACTTAGTATGTAGAATAAATTTAATTGAAACGGAATATTTAGTATGAAGTTGAAGACAATGCCAACAAGTAACATTATGAGCATACCATTGAATATTAATACTAATGCGACTTGTGCGATCTTGTTCAATGGATACATTAGATCATCTGAAACAATACAATAAACATTACAATATTTCAATATTCCCTCAAAGGCCGGCAACTCACCCACTAAAAATGGGTGTCTATGGGCTGCGTAGACTGCCCTTTTTGGTCGTCCCGCAAGCTTCTTTTATATATATAAAAAAAAATATTGTGTAGTCTTTCTTTGTTCCCCAATGTTAGCGTTAACTAAAGATAGAACACAGAGAATACTTTGAATAAATACTGACTTCTCATAGGTTCACCAACAATTAACATTGAATTGCTTTATTACTAGAAATTGCAGCATCTCTAAACAATACTAAAAGTTGGGGATGAATTCAAATATTTATTAGTAAATAAATGTGTTGTTTTATGTAGTTAATGGTAAAAAACACTCTACAGCTGTTCTTTGAACAGCGCGCGCTTTTGAATTGTGTATTATCAATTGATTATCTAATATTAAAAATACTCATTTCGCAATGTTCGTTCCCATACTCTTCCGAAGCAGCTAGACAGTTTTTTATGAAATTTTTTTCGCATATTTAGTAACTCTGAGAATATCTACTATCTTTCAAACCCCTTAGTGAAAAGGGGTGTGTCCACCCCAAAAAAAATATTTTTATTTTTTAGGTGCCGTTCATAAAATATGTTCGCATACAAGGGGAGGGAAGGGCTGAGTGTGACAAGGGGGGACGGGGGGTATACGGCAACGTGACGTTCGCCAAAAAAAAGCTGATTTTAGTGTGACGTATTTTATGAATGGCCCCTTAGACAAAATACGTTCTTTTTATTTTGTTATGAGACAGCATACAAAAATATATACAACTCTTAATTTTCATCTACTCTCTACGATCAACCCCTAATTTTTATTTATTTATTATTAGTTGAGAACTTATAGCTCTGAGGTTTAGTTTTTATTCCGGAATACCAAACAGTCTCTGGGGTAGTATAGCAAAATGTTCCATGTTGGTATGTACATATTAAAAAGGTAGACTATGCATTAAGGAGAAACAAAGTTCGCGGGGGCAGCTAGTTATTATTATATATTTACCTGTAATACTTAAAACTATAGTATTAACAGTAGCACTGATTGTGATCATAGGCTCTGATATTATAGTCGTGAACATCCTTGCAGCTATCTTCAAAGGGTTCATATGTTTTAACATGACTATTGGGTCTGGTGGAGACACTACACATTCCGATGTCCAAAACTGCCACTTACATGAGTTAAGGCCTGATATAAATCGGTTGACTTGTTCCTTTTCAGCTTCCTGAAACATACATAATTTATCATGTATATGTTAACGTAAAATTGTAAATACCGTTAGATTGTAATCTATCTCGCGAGATTATAAACTGTCGAAAGATTGTCAACTCAACGTACTGCTTACAATTTAACGTATTATTATTCGGTAGATTATAATATATCGAAGTGAAATCGTCAAATTGTGAAACGGTACGCACCTCGCGCGCTTATTGATCGGTTTTATAGTAGACCGTTATATTATGTCCATAGAGTTAGGATTGAAACAAGGGTATCGGTCAAATAAAATTAATGCACTTCAAAAATTAGTATTTATTATATCAATAATTCTGACATCACATGATGAAAAAAAAAATATATCAAAATAAAAAAATTAGAAACGTAACAATATTTTCTCTTCAAACACAAATTAAAATTGAAAAATTAATGAAATTTTCTTTTAGAAAAAAAACGATCACAAAATAAAATCAAAATTTAAAAAAAAAACAATTCGAAAACATATGAACGTTTTTGAAAACAACAAAATTGTCTATTATATAAAAAATAAGAAAGTAAATTGCATCAATAAAAATGTTCAATTATTGTTGCACGTCAACGAGTTGTGGCACCTGGAGTTACAAAGAACATCAACAGCTTTCTTTTTATTTCTTTGCAATTAAATTTTTTACTATTTTCATTATGCCCGCTGTAATAGTTTTGTAACTCTATGGTAAATTCTTCCTTATTAACAATACCCAATATTTCTGAGTTTTGTTGATCGACACTCGACAGGCTCGATATCCGACATTGTAAATACGAGCAAGGTTCGCGAATAAAAAATATTAAAACACGGAAAATGTATGTAATTTAGACTATGTTTGGAGACCAACACTAACTTAATTATCATTCAAACTGCACTTCTTTGGTCAATCACAGATTAATTTTACTTCCACAACATTTTCATATAACTTTTCACGTTCTCTTTCAACATCCTAAAGCTGTGAGTTACTTTCAAGACGACATCAATTTACATTCACCAAAACACCGTTTGTTTACATTCGACAACAAACGAATTAACAAACAAATATGGTCGCCACCATGGCATATTCCGTTCAACCAATCAGCGTGTGGCATATTCCGTTCAACCAATCAGCGCGCGAGGTGCGTACCGTTTCACAATTTGACGATTTCACTTCAATAGATTATAATCTACCGAATAATAATACGTTCAATTGTAATTTGTAAGCAATACGTTGAGTTCACAATTTTTCGACAGTTTACAATCTCGCGAGATAGATTACAATCTAACGGTTTTTACAATTTTACGTTGACATATACATCAACATAATACAAGCTAAACCAAAATCCCTTGGTTATTTTTAATTTTTTAGAACTAATAATTTTTATTGCTGCATTTAGTAAAATGTCTTTAATATTCTTTAGATAATTGAAATAAATAAAAAAACTAACATTAAATTGCAAATATTTTCAGTTATATATACAGATGCAAGTTACCTCATCATAATGTAATGTATATGTAAAAATAAATAACAACTTATTGAATTTTTACTTACTTTATAAGAAACGAAGACTTCATATAAATATAGTGCTACTCCCAAAAATATTAACATGTGCTTGTATGACACATAATGCCATAACCAACATGTAGCAGCAACCATTGCAGCTATTGTAAGGCTCCATGTTATGTAGTCCTGAAATGATTGAAAATAATTATAACTCCTCTTATTCTCAATTATACACAGTATTAATTTACTTTCAACTCACTTTATATTCTATAATATATGTATAGACATATTCACTCCAAGCCATGGCTATTCTTTCAGTAATTGTTGGTTTATATATGGATCCTTCTATATGTCCAATGGATCTCCTTAACATATTTTCAGAAAGAGCCTTGTTCGATAAAATGTATTCATCAAGGCTATTAAATTGCTCTAGACTGAATTTCATTTGTAGAGATATATCTATTGTATCATCTTCATTTTCCTATAAAAATTAAAACTTCTCAACAAGGAATACTTTTATTATTGTGATAATTAAAACTGTATTGTGATTAAGTTACCTTTCTCTGTCCACCTTTTAAAATAATTGCTAGTAATCGCTTATAAAACCAATCACTCATGCATTGGTTAGGTTCAGGTTTAATTTTTGCTATTTGTTTAGGTATTTTTAAATCTGGTGGTAAGTCATCTTCCTCTAAAATATTCTTATTTACATTAAGGTCATCCCATGGATCTGGTCCAACTTGAGGATTACAAGTAATGCATTTAATAAAAAGGCATAATACTAATACATGATACATAATGCTGCGAGTCGATAAAAGAACGTCCTTAAAATATGTACAAGTAAATGTTTTTTTACTGGTTAGCGATTAATGTTTACATTTTATAAACACTTTGCATAGTTTGTTAATCGTCTTTCCGATATGTCTACGTCAGACGGGAGAAATTATCACTTTTTAGAATAAAGAAATACACGTTTTCTGAAATATTTTTTAACACTTTTTAAGTTTCAACGTTCCAACAACTTTGGAAATGACTATTTATCAATTGTCATTTTACAACGTTTCCTATTGTCTCAGTTGAATTTGAGAGTTATCATTTGACAGTGACACTTGGGTTTGAACTAAAGTTTAAAATTTAAATGTCTCAGATTTGAAAATTTAATTATCAATTACTAAGCCACAAGGCATAAAAATTCAAAGCTACAAAAATATATTTATTAGCTTTTTTTCATTAACAAGATATTAAGTTAGCTGTTAGTGGTCTTATTTGTTGTACGCTTGTATATGTTTATCTAATACTTAACAAGTAGTAGTAGTTGATGCTTGGTCTGGACTCTGGTCTTATAATTCAAATATCGTTATTTAATAATTGCAGTTTATAATGTCATCAATAGATTTTGATCCAGCAATCAAACTATGTCTGAAATATTTACATTCAAGCGCTTCTGATTCAACTGAACAACTACGTCTTACTTTAGATGATAGTATTCGGCAAACATACGGGAGTTCAAAAACTCTTGGTAATGTTTTATCTAAAAAATATCTAAATGAGGAGAAAACATCATCGCCCTCACGGTCCAAACATAAAAGCGATAAGAGTTCCAGCTCGAAAACTATACCGATGCCACAACACAGTCCACAGCAAATACAAATACCAGAAAGAGAAGGAGATGTTGGTGTTATGGATGATGGCGAGTTGGCGTTTGATTTATTACAAGAGGATTTGACTTGTGTTGTGTGTAGGCAAATTGCAGTGCAAGCGGGTAACCGCTTGGTTGAGTGTGATGCTTGTCATGCCCTCTATCATCAGGTATTGTTTTCTTCTTTTTTGAAAAAAAAATATTTTCTAGATTAAATAAATAATGGTAATTAAAGTAATAACAATTAGGGTTGGTAGACAAAGAAGGCAGATACATTTCTTCCCCATGCCATGTTGGGTGGTTAGCGGCTTTTAACAATTAAATTAATCAATTTGTGTTCTTTCAGGACTGCCACAAACCGGTAATAAGTGATAATGATATGAGTTCTGGATGGCATTGTGCATCATGTCTTACACAAGGCTTTGCATACTCCAACAAAGTGGTTAAATCTCCTACTCGAGTATCTGATTCTACTCCGGTAAAAATAACAACCAGTGCATCTGCATCTTCGCCACCATCTAAAGTAGTAACCCCTAACATTAATATCATCTCAGCAGATAAAAGAATACAAACAATGAAGAAAAAAGCTGCCAAACAACATGAGAAAAAGAAAAGTAAATGACATAGTCTTTCTCAATGGTAATTATTAGGAATAATTGCTATTGCCATTTTACACTAACTTGTTCATTGCTATATTTGTAAAGAACCTAGTTATAAATGTAGGTATTCTTAATGTTTAATACATCTTAATCATTAAATTTTTAACTGTATATTCTAACAGTAAGTTGAAGTATTCAGATATAAAACAAAAAAACATGGATATATAGACATAGAAAAATATAGGATTACTAACTTAGGAAACTTATTAACGAATGTAAATAGATATTAAGATATTGTATAATTAACATTTTGATATTAACTTTATGACAAAAGATTGCTTGGATGTCCAAGCCTTTTTTTTTCATCAATCTTTTTTCAACTATGAAATATGAATGTGTTTAGACCTATATTTTTAACATTTTTAACCACAGATTTCATTACCATTCGATTTGATTTTCATTTCATTTAATAAAGGGTATAAAATGTTAAAAATAGAGCATAAAAATCATGAGTATAATATTAGAATATTACTTGTTATAACTACTTGGCACCAATTTGAATGTGAATACAGGATAAGGAAAAATAAAGTCTTTACTTTGCATGAAAGTGGTACATATGGATTTGATAATAAAAATACAAAGACATATTGATTTATAATAAAACTAGATGACCCCGTGAACTTTGTTTCACCAACGTAATATATTTGTGTCAAAACTTTTAAAACATACCAAAGAGGTCGGCCCTCATACAGCAGACTACATACTAATACTATGAAACACATATTTTTGACATGTAAATGACAACCAAGTGACAATTTTTAATTTCTAAAAAGACGTCCAATTCCCCATCTAAGAACAGTTTGTATTGGGAAAATCAATTGTCGTTGTTAGTATTTTTCTTTAATTAATATTTACGTTTCCCATCGTTTAAACCTTCCCTGATCTTCCACAAATATTTTAAGATCATAAATAGCCAAATTGGTCCAGCCGTTCTCGAGTTTTAGCGAGACTAACGAACAGCAATTCATTTTTATATATATAGATACAAAAACACATGAGAAAACTTTTAATTATAAAAACCTAGCTAATCTTATGAAGCTAGTTACTAACTCATATTAAAAACTTATTTAAACTAAAAATACGTTGGCAACTTATAAACCTATAACTTGAAACCTTCTTCATATAATAGGGTGCTGTGCCTTTAAAAATAATCTCCTTACCTTTGAAAACTTTATAAGGTCTGATTTGTACCTTCTGGGAAGGTGATAAAGATTTTCGAACCTCTTAAGATGGAGCTGAACCGCATTTAAAAGTAAGATTTAGAAAAGAGACAGCGTTAGACTGACTTCCGACGTCAAAAATATATTGGGTTTTCTCATAGGATAGTCATAGTTCGCGTTTCTGAATCGAACCCTTGGTGAAAACGATATTGAGTGTTATAAAGTGGCAAACACTCCGTCTGTTTTATTGATAATTTTTCTTTAAGACGTCTTTGATTTTTATGATAATATGCCCGTGTCTACGCGATGTTTCCTTCATGGTACGCGCAAATTAATAGCGCACAGAAAGAAAATCCATTAGTGCAGTTTAGGTCCTGCCAACTCATTTGATTGATAAAGATCATACTGCATAAATAGTTCAATTAATTTATATACCGATACCCATACGGCTTATATTTATAAACGTTTACAAACACGCAGTTATACCTCGAGAGTAAGTTTTGTGTAAAATTTAGTAACTTCAAATTCGAGCTTCTAAATGTATTCACAACGAAATCGAAAATGGCCTGAACTGCCGAGAAAAGGATGGTACGGCCGTGCCGCTTTTTTGCTCGACTTGGCGGGAGCACTGCTGTGCCCCCAGATGTAGAAGAAACCAGCTGCAATCCTTTGTCATGGCCTCATTTTCTTTATCTGTTATCTTGATTGGCATGTAGGTGGTTGGCCTAAAATATCGTGAGAAAACAGACATACGCTGTCAAAAAAAAAATATTGTGTAGGTTTTCACACAGTGTTTTCTTTTACCTTATAAGCAAATATATCAAATCAAGGCTTAAGGGTTGATAGTCGCGGGGCCAACGTAGGGGCTAACTCTGCCGAAAAATAGATAGTGATCAATCTTAAAATAAGAAATCTATTAGAAACTTAAAAATAATATGCAGCGTTATGTTACTGTAACTTAATATTTAATAAGATTAAATTAAGAGAAATTTACCCAAAAGGCGGTAAACAAATTTTAATCATGAAGAATTAGATTTTGATTCAACACTACTTTAATCGAGAATATAATTTTTCATTGTATTCCTTCTTCTCACGTGTCCAAGCATTGTCGCGCTACCCATTGCCGACGGAAAAAGCTTTGACGACCTAACATGGATTTATGTATAAATGTCTGCTAATATACAGACTTTACAGTGGTATTAAAAATAGGCATTTTGCCCCACCACATTTGGAATTGTGCAACTGCTTTGAGAAATCTCTTTTAATCTGAATAAATGATTTATTTAAGTGTTTCCTATTAAATAAAGTATAACTTAATGGAAATGTAACTTTAATTTTTACAAACAATTTAAATAGAAATAGAAATCATAGAAAATTGTGTCATGCAATAATAATAATAACAAATATGAACTTTTTTCCTTAGCTTATAGATACTATTTATTAGTCATTTATTAATCTTTTGTATTGAAATGTTGATACGAAAACAAAAAATAACGTAATTTTAAAATGTATGCAACGTGATACTAGAATGAGTATCATAATTTTTTTTGGCAAAGAAAACCACTTTTCTCGTCAAACATCATTTCACGTCGCCTCGGTAAACAGTAACGTAATACATAGATAGATTGTTGCTTAACTAAATGAAACATACTACTATCGGTAGATGTTTTTAAAAAGATGTAACCAATGGTTAAGAGGGTGGAATCTGATTGGTAGAATCTCTTCGAGGGGCGGATAGCAACGTGCAGGCTGCTATATAGTTATTTCAGTCTGCGCTTTGTATCTCTGAAAATAGAGTCTTTTTCATCGTCAGAAAGTTTGCTACAGTTTTCTAGTAGCAACGCCTTTTTTGTTTCGTGAAACCACTCGAAATATTAGTAGTTGATTGTGGGCGGCTGTTTAATGGTGTTAAATTATGAGGGATTTTTTTGAAAGATACAATTACAAGTGCTTTTGAATAACAATCCAACGTTGTATATACAAGTAAGTATTTATTAATGGTTTTCTTAATTTATAAGTGCTATTAATTAAATCTAATTTTCGCCTGCTCGTTAAACATTTCTTGAACTTGATTTTTAATTTCTAAGTGGGTACATATTTATTAAATCAGTCAAATTTTTAACTACGAACAATGAGTTATACGCTACTCTCGGAAATCAGTTGTCTTTTTGATTATTTTTATTTTATAAAATTACAGCGCAGTTCCATAAACCTTAAAAATATATAAAGAGCTTTTGTAGTCCAAAACCTAGTCGCTTGCCCACCATATTGGTGGTTGTAGGTAAGCCTCTAGGCTAGGACTAGGGTCTAACCCTAGACCTACAATTTGTTACTTTTAAATTCTGCTGGATTTGCCATATATTCTTTCTTTTTCATAGAGATGAATAGTGGAAAAGCGAGAGTACCAAAATGCGCTAGATGCCGTAATCATGGCTTGATCTCCAGTCTCCGTGGTCATAAGAAAGCTTGTGCTTATCGCAACTGCCAGTGTCCTAAGTGTGGCTTGATCAAAGAACGACAGAGGATTATGGCGGCTCAGGTAAGCAGATTTATAACTATTCAAAGTTTTGGTGGATAATAATCACAGCGATTCACTTTTTTTTAATTTTGGAGGGGCCGGTTAAAAGCAAAGACTACTTTATTGAAATACTTGTCAATTACATTTAGTAGGTACCTAGGTATATCTTCCAAATTTGATATACGGTGGACAAACTTATCGTTAAGTTACGACCTTATCCTTAGGAATAACTTTTAGCTCAATTGTATGGAACAATTTTATTTAATTAAGTGGCCATTTTTCTTATTAATAAAAAAATAAAAAAAATTCAAATGATTGTGGTTATCATAGCATCTTTGTGGTTATCAACATTGAGATAAATCCAAAATTAAATATAGATAATTATTTAATTATATATTATAATATAATTATATTTAATTTAAACCCCACATTCAAGACTCTTCGATTTAAAAATAAAGTGTCATTCGAATAAAAAAATCCAGTTAAATAAACTGCAAACCATTAATATTTATTTGTAAACATATTAATATCACACAGATATAGAGTATTTACAATATTCTTCACCTACATAGTAATAATAATAATTAAAAATGTATAAATAGAAAATCAAAATAAATAAAAAGTTTGGTCCCTGTGGCAGTGCACTTAATGCTTGCAGCATTTTTTATTTGTTGAGCGAGGAAAGCACCAGCTCTGGGGTCATCTTTACTATCTACCAGGCGCCAACTTAAATCTATAATCGCCTGTGCACTTGAAACCCATGTTCCAAGAGTCTCAACTCCAAAGAGAGCAAAATCAAAGTTGAAGGAAAGACTCTTGTGTTTGCTGTTTATTATTTTCCGCCTGATCTGCGTCCTCCAGATTTTGTGCTTAAATTCCGAAAATACTGTTTTAATTTACTTTTATAATTTTGCACGACGGAAAGTACCTATAGCCACCGGAGACGCTATATCATGTCGTTAATATTTTTTTTTTTTTGGGGTGGGTTTTTTGAAATTTTTTTTTTTTTTTCGTTTTTTTTTTTTAAAAATTCTTCCTTTTTTTTTTTAAACCCCCCCCCCCCCCCCCCTCCCAAAAAAAAAAATTTTTTTTTAAATAAAAACTTCCCCTCAAAAAAAAAAAACCCCCCCCCCCTCCCCTTTCTCCCCATTTAAAAAATATTATACCCATTTATTATACTCTACGTTATGGTATAAAAATATAGATACAAAATAATTAATCAAAAAAAAAAGGATTGAAATCCATTAATAAATGACTACGTAAAGGGAATTACGCAAAATAATACGCAATTTATTACAATTATTTTTGTTTTATTTAACTTTTATAATGTAGCAATAAAAAATTAAAAAGAAAAATGGTTAAATACATCATTCTACAAAAACAATATAGAGCGCAAAGATAACAATCAACATCACAGAAACATTCAATCTTTCGTAGTTTCGCTAGGGGCTACGGAACTTTAAGCTCTATGGTAAAAAAAAGTTAGTGATTGTAATTCGAGAATTATAGTCTAATCTGTGTTATCAATACGTTTACAAATACCCGCGGAGGCGTTAATGTGTTTTAATGTAGTGAAATCGAGATCAGCTAATGCGATGCTGGGTTTATTTGAACAAGTGGCACATGTTTACAGAAGACGCCGGATGAAACATCGATCGGTTTGTACAGTAATGCATCGTGTCCTACCACTTTCAGATTCGGGAGTGTCTTTTATTTTAAATTAAATTTACAGGTTCCACTTTTGCATAACAAACGCGGGTTCGTTCCAGACGTCTTTTGTTTTAAATCTTCCTGGAGGCTTAAAAATGAACGTGTAACTTTTTAAAATTAGAACATATTTTAAGTCAGTTAGGAAAATAGATAAGAATAGGTGGTATGGTCAAAAAACTTAAGCCTGCCCTTATTTTTCGCCCAAAATAAAAAATCCGATATTTTTTCATATACATATTATAATAACTATATACTTTGATAAATATATAATAAGTTATTCTATGCGATTCTTGGCATAATTCGGTACCATTTTCGTAGCTCCAAGGATGAATGTTTTTTTTTGTTTTGGTAGGCATAAAGTTATTTACTTGACTGAATTTCCCCCGGCCTTTTAAATATTTAATTAATATTCCATACTAACTTAAAACGTTAATATAAATAAGAAAACATCTATAGTGTTCTTAACAAAAATCATGTGCAAAAAGACATTTCGTATTCCAGTAGCGAAGACTATAATTTAATTTGCAGGGATCAGATTTTGTTTTTGTTACCAATGAGGCATCGCTCATGTCCCCGGGGTGACCGCCGACCGCTTACCAAACAAACAATGTTTGTTTGTCATTGATTTTCCGATAAATTAATTTACTATATCGAATTACTTTTATAAACAGAGTGGAATAAATTTACTGTTCAAATATGGTGGTGACGAATTTTTTAGTTGTAATTAAAGCATTTTTAGAATAAATAATTTAACTGTATTATCTGATTACAAAAACATGCTTTCATTTCATTTAAAAAATTGTAACTTTTGTCTAATTAGTCATAGCTTTTAATTTCGTTGCAAATTTTAAAAGATGTTCTTTTGTTTACGCGACACGGATATAAACACATTTATTAAGTTAAGTTCTGTGTTTTAAATAGGGTTTCTATTCTTCTCTCATACACTTGAATACTTACCTGTTTTAAACAGGTGGCGTTAAAAAGGCAACAAGCGGCAGAGGATAAAATTGCTCTTCATTTAGCGTCAGTGGAGAGCGGGACGTCTTTGGAGGCTTTGCCACCGGGAAGAATCTATGGTATGAGGGTCACGGGACCTTGCCAAAGTCCTGGGCCTGAGCCAGATTCCGCTGCTGATGATCATACTGTACGACCGACATTATTATTATATTACACAGAATTAATAAGATTTTTTAAAGTACAAATTACTATTCAGTAATCATAGAGGCACAGAAATTTGCCTATCAATTCTAATATTATTTATACCTACATTTGAGTAGTGTTCTCCTTTTTTTAGTATAGTATAGTAAACGTGTTGTGCTAGTCCTAGAAATATTTGTATCGGTGTAAGTAGTTGGTCGCTAACAGAGCTTCCTTTGCAGCCGATTCACATAGACAGTGAGACCAGTGATTCTCTTCCTGACTGTTGTTCTCCTGATTCATCAGATCGTACTCTGGGACTTCGGCCTTGGTAAGTTAATAATAATAACACTTTATTTACACAAAACATGTGAAAAAGAATAGTAAAACAGAGGATGTAAATGGTTGGTCTTATTGCTAAATGTAGTTTCTTCCAGACAGAAGTGAGACATAGTAAAGACAATCGTTGATCATCGCCTGAACTGTATCTGTTTTGTTGATGGTTTTTCTTTACAAGAAATTGCGTGAAATAGGACTCAAAGACTTTTCACTTTAGACATCAGCCTTGCGATTCTGTAACTCACTTTTCGAACTCTCACAGGGGTTTTCGCAGTGGCGGTCGCGTTCAAATCAGTCGTGAAGCAGTAATTTTACGATTTGACATTCTGATAAGGAGGGAGCTTGTAGTTTATTGTTTACATGTTGTGAGTTACAGAATCGCAAGGCTATGCCGGATACTAACCGTCGATTTTTGGTTCTTAGACGTGTTGGTTTCTTTACGATGTTTTGTTTTGTTTAAGCCAGGATTCGAATGCACATCTACTGTAAATACTGATTTACGTTCTTGTTTTTTCAGTGTCATATTAATGTTAACCACGGTTCATTAAAGGTGTAACTGTAACCCGCGCATAGAATATTAATATGATATAAAAAGCCAGCACTTTTAACATTAGGCGCAATTGTTTAATTTTATTTAATAAAGTACACCACATAATGTATAATACCTTTCTATAGCAATAGTCATAATCTATATATTCTGAATTACATGATAATTACGGCAAACATAAATTTTACAAAAAATGCAATAAAAATATTACACTTCCTATATTTTCTATTTAAAAATACTTATTCGCTTATCATACGGTTAAGGTACCAGATTAATTGTATGCTAAGATTCTATGCTATTTTCAAATATTAGCTAAGTCTATTTAAGCGATTATGATATGTTATATCGAATGATATTTCATATTATGTGTGCTAAAACCATCACTCTCATAAGATGATATTAAGGTGAGACTAAATGCATTGCATTTAATGACGAAGTCGTTCCCAAGACCAAGCATTACCCCTTTATTACAAAATCATATGAATACCTTTTAATTAGGTACCCACCTATAAACATTTGTGTAGAGAATTTGTTACAAAAATATCCACTAATAAAGTAATTGCCAACAGCCAAATATATTTCCCTGCTATATAATGGGGCATCCACACGCTGGCTGTTTGTCACAAACACCGCAAAAAGCAAACGAAGTCCCAAACACCAACCACAATCACCCAACACAAACAGCCATCCACATGCTTGGCGAACGTTCATAACATTCCGAATCGGCAAACATGGCGGACGACGAGCTTGTTGCAGCTATTACTTTCGGGTTGACATATTTTTATTATAAATTAAAGCAAGAGAAAGAAAAAAGGGAAAAAAAGAAGGAAGCAAAGACGATGGTGGATGATTAAAATACATAGAAAGCGTACAAGGCTTTAGACCTATTATTTGAGCTTTACTTTGCCGTGTTTTTTTTAATTTTACTTAAAAGTTACTTAAAAATGTCAGAATCGTAGGTGCTCCAATCAGACATTTTTTACGCTTTGCGCGCCAACGAAAGTGTAGCAAGTAAATACGTCCGCCTCCCGCAAGCTCGCGCGCATACTGATCGCTGCCAAACGTGTGGATACGTAGCAAACTGTTTGCCAAACATCCTTTGATCTGGCAAGATAAACCGACACCGATGCCGAACACTGCCCAACACGAACACAAACAGGCAAACAACGACAAACACCCATCCACACGTCCGTGTTTGCTGTTTGCTGTTAGCTGTTTGCCATTGTTTTGTCAAGCGTGTGGATGGGCTTTAATATATTCTCAACAGCGGAACTACAAACGAAAATTCCGAAAGTGCAAACCCGGTCAGTACAGCAAGTTTGGAAATGTTAAAGAAGTTATTTCCTGGAAAAAAGCGATCAGTCCTCGAATTGGTTCTACGAAGATGCAACCACGACTTACTGCGAGCTGTTGAACATTGCAATGCTATTCAGGTAAATAATACAGTGTCGCTACAATCCTTTAGGTCTGGGCATTATGATCGTGTATTTTCCTTAAGAGGCAAGTAGGTGATCTATCTTCTGTGCCTGACACATGCCGTCGACTCGTCTTTGGCATGTCAGTTTCCTCACAATGTTTTCCTTCACTCTGCACTTGCTGGTAGGTTAAATACGCACTTAATAAGACAAATCCTCACATGACCTCACATTGTTGCTTAGCCATGTTTTGAATGTATAACCTCAGAGTTGAGAGGCCATTAGGCTGACTCTGCTCATGAATATTAAAAAAATATTATTAAAAATTAATATCAGAAATAAAATCTCAAAAATGAAGGTTTTACAGTATTACGTTTATTCATAGATTCGTTTACCTTACAAATTGTTTCTGAGAACTTCTCATGTTACTTACATGTTTTAAACATTTTTATTATATTTAAGAACACATAAATCTTGTTAACAGGGCTCCAAAGAAAAATTGCCAACCATAGTACCACCTTTGAGCTATGAATTGCCCAACCCAGAAGAACCTTCCAGATGGTCAGCCTTCAGACCTGTAGGGCCTCGTACACCCTCGCTTATGTCGGCTTTGGTTATGGGCAGGGTATGTGGGTCTGATTGGTTGGTGCCTCTTCCTGCGTTACCAGCTCTGTCTGCTCCTCTACTATTACCGTTCCAACACCCACATGCCCCACCACCTTGCAACCCCTGTGCGCCTGATTGTCGACAGTGTAACAGCCATCATTAGAGATTGTTAAATATGACGTATTAATTGTATTATAACACTTTTGTTATATTATTAAAAAAATATTGTTTATGGTTTGTGCCCATCCATAGGCTACGTGCTTCTTCTGCTTTTTAAAGTTGAAAGTTAACTCCAAACTCTCTATACACTAGAAGAGAAGACGTGCCAATTTAGAAAAGTATGTTTATGTCTAATAAGTCTCTTGCTTTTCGACATTCGACATTTTCGAAAATTCAAAATAATATACCCTTTGCCACTCTTGGTGGCATGGCTCCATATTTTCCATTAATTACGTCACACATATATATTTTAAATAATTTTCATGTAAAATTATGTATCAATATCATGTAGACCTAACATGCTAGTGCGTTTAATCTAGTATATAAGTTGCTATAGTAAATATATGTAGATTTGTGATCCTTATTTTAAATGAAAATAATATGTTGGTATATAGATAGAAACATAAGTATCGTTATCTAATATGTTTGCAATAATTATTTCGTTAAGGATATCTGTATTAAATATATAGAACAGTATCAAAGGCTTTTTTTTACCTGCGTCCAGTTTTAATAATTATCATTTATTTGCACGAAAATGGTGTAGGTACATATATAGATGGCGTGCAAATGTGTCTTATATTATTTGGTGATTTATTTGAATACATACTATGCGTAATTATCATATAATTTTATAACTATGCCGTCATTATTAAACTTTAAAATTATATGAATAAAACACAATGTTTTATTCATATAATAATTAACAGAATATTTTTTAGATTTAGTCTATTTCTAAAGAATAGAGAGATAGGGGCACGGCATTGCGCCCGCAAATTGGAGGCCGTACTATCTTTTTCTCGAAGCATTTCAGTCCATTTTCGACGCCCTATAACTTCGTTGTGGATAAAATTAGAAACCAAAGTACTTACGTAATGTCCTAACCTAACAACATCTTACAGTGACCATATCAATATAACAAACATTTTATGTTTTAAATAAATACATTGAATTGGCAATCACATGAAAGCATAAGATATCTCACAAGTAATACATATTATATTAAATTTTTTGTTTAATACGATTGAAAATTCAATCTATGTATAAAAAATATAAACGATTTTTAATATTAATATGGTCGGTATAAGATGTTGTAAAGTTAGCTAATTACGTAATAACTTAAGACAGAAGGTCCCTTAACTTAACGGAATTGGTTATTACATGATTTGGTAATTACATGGATCTCACAACCTTTGCCGGTAGAAGAACTGCGTTGCGAGACTTCGTTTTTTTACAAGTTATGTTTTTGATGACATTATTATTACTAGGTCGTGAGTGTTATGTTATTGTTAAAAGGCAGCAGTGCGTTTGCGAGACAATCTTCCTTGGCAACGTGCGATTGTCCACAAGGCGCTCATAAGAATGTATGCCTAAAGGCTCTGTTACGTACGATTACGAAAAAAGAAATTTGGGAAGACGAAAGTTAAAAAAGTTTGATACGAGCGGCAGAATTAGAGATATTTTCGCGCGGAGCAAAGACATGTGAGAGGCAGATGGGTCAAGGAGACCTTACTTGGGGCCCGGAGGTCGAGTAATAGTGTAAAACACCTACCAGTGACATGGGACTTAGTGGAGTAAAAGTTGTACAGGGGAGAATTGGAAAACATTTTTGTGGGTTATTTTTATTTGGAAAATTTTGGAATCATCCTTGTTACTCTATGTTGGATGTTTAGTACTTGGTAAAACATAAAGACGTGATACAGTAGTAGTTCTTAACAGAAAGGTTTTTTTTATTTTGTAAATATTTCCCTATAATCAACCTTGTTGCTTTCAATCTCCAGGTAGCTTGGAATTAAAAAGCCGTATATCATAGAGCTTCAAATACTATCATGTCATCTTTCAAAATCGCCTATCTATTTAGGAGCGTTGTTGCCATATAATATTTTTTTTTGTTCGGTATAAATCTGTTCTATATAAGAATTAGAAATAGCGTTAGCCCCGCTTCACCTCTCTCGGACAAGCACAAAAGCTGGCGTGGCCGCAGAACAGGCGGAAAATAATAAACGGCTTAAATATAAGAGCCTTTCGTCCAACTTTGATTTTGTTCCCTTTGGAGCCTCTAGGTCCATGGGGTTCAAGTGCACAGGCGCTAATTAAAGATTTAAGTTGACGCCTAGTAGCTATCTACTACCGGTGACCCCAGAGCTGGTGCTTTACTCGCACACGATTAACATTCCTCAATACAGTAGCAGCTTAGATTGATACTGCCACATGGACCCAACTTTTTCAATTTGTTTTAATTTATTACTATGTAGGTTAAAATACCGTAATACCATGTCACTATGTTGAAGGTAAAATTTTGTAGTGCCAAAGTAAAAAGTAAGTCAATCTAGTTTTGAATTTCTGTTTTTCTTTATTGTTTTGAAAATGACTTTTGTGTCCAATAACCTATCATTTAACAAGCTGAGTAAGGTTTATGAACAAGTTTTTTTTTAATTAAAAATTATGTATGTTACATGTTACCTTAGTCTCCATGTAAGGTTGGAATAATTGGGAAATTCTGGTTAATCAATACGATGATGTATCTTGGCTTTCCGTGTATCTTTATCGAAGGTCCAGTTTTTCCTTCCTGACCCAGTGAATTATTGCTTTGACAAGTACTATGCATTTAGGTATACGAGTACTTACAAGGCTGCTTGTTGTACCTTTGTGTAGTCTATAAATAGTGTAAAAGTAAAATAAAGTAAAGTCTATTAGTTTTGATTAGTACAATCCATGAAAGTTGTCCCCCATATGCCGACGGATATGCCCCCGGCTATTGCAGACAAGAACAAATTCGTGTCAACACTACAAATGAAGACAAAATTTTGGCTAACACATATCAACCTATGTTTAACTATTGGACAGAGTATAAAGAACGAAATTTATTATGTTGTTTATTTTTATTTGGTTTAACTGACTGCAAATGCTTATTACAGGAAAGCTTTTATGTAGCTTAGCGACTCATTACATAGGAGTTACCTTCTATTTAAATTTTCCATAATATCGTTGTTATTTTTTATTATTTACATTAATAATGCAAAGGCGATATGCTAACTTCCTTGGCTTTTTCATGGACTTGAAAATAATGGTAGGAATTTATCAGTGAATACAAAAAAGCATATAATTTTAAGAATATTTAAATATTTTATAAAATCGACGATTAAATTTCATATAGTCTTTGTGTTGTTCCCGTTGTTAGTGCGTGCTCGTACTTCGCCATACTAGACCTGAGGTTTTTAATTTTATTTAATATGTCAGGAATGATTCCTTACAGTATTGTAAAACAAAAACTTAGCGATTAAAAAGAGCGGAGGAATATTCTTTGACTTTAGTATTGGCAATTCATGTTAATTCAGAATACATATATATTTTTACATTTGTGTTACCTACATAAATAAAAGTTCTTTTAAATTAATATTTTACGAATAATTCTTAAAAAATGCTTAGTTACTTAAAATAGCATTCAAGACGTTTTAAATAATGAATACATTTAACTCTCATTGACATTTAGAGGTCACAATTAAAATATTCTGAATTGAATTTAAACTAAATATTTTATAGTTCCTCGAGTTTTCACGATGGTATATTTCTGTATTATTATTGCTTTTGTTTTTTTGCATATAATCTGTGATTTTAATTACTTTCTGCGGACTGTTTTTACTGTTATTACAAGTCGTTTTTGTGAAAACAAATGTTCTTTGGATGACGTTACTACTATTTATGGTAAGTATATACATATGTATTATAGAGTGTGCTAAGTATGATTCCCGTGTGTCAAATCCAATTTGTTTTTGGATAAACGAGTGCCTTAGCTAAGATTCAGAAACGAGACTACTAGAGTCTCGTTTCTGAGACTAGGTCTGTAGTACTCTCACATACACTTCCAAATGTTATCTTAGTTTAATCATAATAACCTTGTATGTATAATGTATATGTCAGAGAAGAAATAAAGATTATTTATTATTATTTAATAATCTTATATAATAATATATCGACTTCAGCTTTATTGATTGTAAGAGTAACCAAAAAGGTAAAAAAAGGGTGTAATAAATTAGTGTTTTTATTTTTAATCCGGATTGGTCTTGTAAAATCAATAAGAGCGTACCAATTCTTAAAAGGCCGGCAACGCACTCGCGAGCTCTCTGGCATTGAGAGTGTCCATGGGCAGCGGTATCACTTAACATCAGGTGAGCCTCCTGCCCGTTTGCCTCCTGTTCTATAAAAAAAAGTGATTCTCGAACGTTAAAAATAGAAATATAAAATATTCGATTTTGACATAATTTACAGATTAGAAAATGGCTTGTATCGACTGCGTTTGCAGTAATTTACAAAATTGTACTTGTAATTTTGTATATTATTGTAAAACGTAAGTTACAAACAACAGACTTTGGGTTTCGATAAATAATCTCAGAATGTTTGTTATTTTTGACAAAGGACGTATGTAATTTGGTAACATTTATTTGAATCTCACTATTATATGTCTAATGCAGTGTTTCCCAACGTGGAGTCCACGCCCCACAGAGGGGCAATTTGATTATTGGGGGTCTATTCGAAATTTTTTAAAAATTATTTGAAATTTGAATTTCAGTTTTTCATTATATGTTATGAAAATTACTTATTGTGTCCAATAAACCTATCATTTAACAAGAGACTGAGTAAGAGTTTCTTAAGTGAACAATTGATTTTTTTTATATTAAAAACTATGCATGTTACATGTTAGCCTTAGTCTCCCCATAGAATAAGGATCTTGAAAGGCTTAGGTTTAGATGGGGCACAAAAAGGTTGGGAAATACTGGTCTAATTAATGACAATGATCTTTAGTATCTTGGTTTTCCGTGTATCTTTACCGAAGATTCAGTTTTTCCTTCCTGACCCATGGAATTATTGCTTGGACAAGTACTATACAAATAAATATAGTTAAAAGGCTGCTTGTACCTTTGTGTAGTCTACGTAAACTAGATTTAAAAAAAGACTAAAAAAATATGTACGTAAACCTAAGTAAGTAAAATATATTTTCAGGTCTTTGTACTTTACAAGATTGCGATGTATTCTTCAAGAGTATTCGCACGGCCAGATTAGTACGCGAAATCGATTTCGCGAGATACCATTTTTACGAGAGAGTCGGTATTTACGAACGCAGTATAGAATTGGGTGTAAAATCATTGCAAGGATCAACAATGACTGTGGTTTGTGAGCCTCTTCCAATTTTTGCGCTCTACAAAATTAATACTAAGGTATATTATTAACGACTTCAGCTTTATTGCTTCTAAGAGTAACCAAAAAGGTTAAAAACGGGTGTAATAAATTAGTGTTTTTATTTTTAATCCGGATTAGACTTGTATAATCAATAAATTATATGTATAATTACAATGTTGGGTGGTTCTGTAAATGTTATAATGACATATGTTTGGTAGGCACAGAGGCTGAACTAAAGAAAAAATATCAATGAAATAGACCTAAAAACGTGTCCCAGTTACAGAAGATTGAACAGTTTTTCTCATTTTCAGCTAGTTTACTGGGACGAAAGATCTCTTTTTTTCGAACATGAAGTAGTTACATTGCGGGATGGTAAAGTCAGACATCTCTTGATATCTCGGCAATATGCTATTGGTTCTACTAAAGAAACAACGGAGGCTCTTCTAAAAGGTCTACCCGGCTCAAGTAATAGACCAAAATGTCCACCACACATCGAACGTTGGTTGAGCAGTATGCAAAAATCAAGTGATAAGCTTCGTAATAAACAATAAAGAATAACATGTTTTTTATTTGCACTGAAAAATTTCTAAATATTTTGAAAGGAATAGAAATTCAACGTTTTACACTAAAGTTTGGTTGACACACGTTGTTCAAGAAATTTCCAAGATTATAAGAATTAACAATAAAATAAATGGGCGGAATTGGTTGTTTTAATAGCTGTTTAAAACTTATACGAATAGCTTGTAAAAGTTAAAACCTAATACTGTTTTATAGAACTACAACTATCAAAACCATCAATGAAATTTTTTAAGTTACGATTTAATGAAATTTTAACTTAACCATCGTTACCAAAATACTATATAAAGAAAAATAGAAAGCTGAGACTTATTACTAAAATAAAGATAAAATAATTATAATAACGTGATACACGGAAACCATATTCATAATATTTTGCATTACACCAACGGTATTACGTGATTAAAGGTAAGTGTAGCTAACTTCACGCGGCTGCTGGTTCAATGACATCATGACATGAATTATTCGATTCTCATCGCGCGCAAAGAATTTTTATCAGCTAACGTCAGTTGATTCGCCTTTGTTTGTAGTATCGTACAAGTTTTTTGTATTAAAATGTACTGCATTATCGTGTCTATTATAGCTTTAGCGTATATATTCTGGGATGTTAATTACTTTCTACGAGTCGCTTTCACTATAGGAATTGGAAGATTGTTCAAGAAGAAATGCAGTATAAAGGATTCCACTACAATTTACGGTAAGTTTTTGAAATGAAATACCTAAATTTTTAATGATCCAGACAAAATTTCTTTATAAAAATAAATCTAGCTCAGTTCAGTTAATAACTACTTTCTACTATTATATTTATTACTTATATATTTTCTTAAGATAATTAATGTGATTCGGGAAAGTTTGAAGCCACAAAAAAACAGAAGCTTAAACACTTCTTACATCCATAAGTTTTATGGTCAAGGTTCTTTGCTTTTTATAAAGATTTCGTTTTAAAACAGGTTTTAAACGTTTCTCTTATTACTATATACTGAACAGTTAATATATTTTTCAAAGCGAAACTGAAGCAAGATTATTTAAAACTTTCGTGAATTATAAAATACAACAAACTTATAAAAACACCATTGCACGCCATTCAATGTAAAAACCAGAAAAATTTAATAGTTCAGAGTTTCCAAACCGCTAATGTGCTTGGTAACTATACATTTTTTCTTGAATAAATATATAGTTAACAAACACATTAGGTACCAATTAAGTATGTTCGTAAAAATGTTGATTACGTCTATGTCGTTAATTTATTCACTATTTTGCATAAAGCAAAATCTATTGTTTGACCATCGATTGATAGATTCTTTTCATTTACACAATTTTTTACTTGCTTTCATTGCATTTCATTGCAAATTAGGCCTTCATTGCATTTTTAACCGGCTTAAACAACGTTATCAGTTTAACTTAAGTTTCACTGTAAATTTCTTCGAAACGAAAATTATATCGAGATGTTTTAAATTTAAATAATATTTTAATTTAGGAACTACGAGTAGTTGGGATATGGCTATCCACGCATTTTTGGAGAGTTAAAATAAAGAAATGTATATAAAGAATGTTAGTATTAATTCAACTTAATTTAATTGAATGAATTACTTTATTGATTAGTCATCAATCTATTAAAAAGTCGTTCTACTGTAATTAGTATAACAGTTCAATCAAGCATTTCATAAATTAATATTCAATACAGTACGTTTTTAAAATCATAAATAAAATGGTTTCCTATTTTAACAATGGACTCCGCCTTACATTGTAATTGAATGCATTTAACATTTGAATAATTCAATCATTTTTCATTGCCATTGAAATTATAATAATATATGTATATAAATAAAAATAGAGTACACTACACTTAACTACACTAAGTCCATGTTATTTAAGTTTTACACTAGTACTCGACCTCTGACGGAGTGAAGGTCTCCTCCAAATTCTTCCACTTGCCTCTATTCCTCGCGACAATTTTTCCAATTATTCTAAAATATATGTATACGTATACTGTATAAATAAATCATATTTATTGGAATAAAATGAGTCCAATTGCACCACATATCTTAAGTACCATTGCGTCTCTTTTTGTCATATTGTGTTTCGCTAGGATGAAGAGAGATAGATTCGTATTTCGTATAATTACACATTTTTGATAAAATATATTTCTTTATTTCCAACACACAAATGCACAAAACAGAAGAACAATAAAATCAATAACTAACCTTAAAATATAATAACTAAACTATATTATTTATTACACATTTAGTTTTTATGAATAAGGGGGAAAGAGTTTTATGATCCCGCAGTAATTATTAGCAAAGACCTCTATCGTTCAAAAACTTTAACACCGAAATATGTGTATAGTAGGTTTTTAATGCAATTCATTCTATATTTTTCAGGATTTTGCACAACTCAAGATGTGGATATTTTCCTAAGACACATGAATAATGCGCGATACGTACGAGAACTCGATTTTGCCAGGTTCCACTTCTACGACGCTACTGGAATTTACGAAAATATTAAAGCAGTGGACGGACACGCGTTGCAAGGTGCATCCACTATTAGATATCGACGAACGATTCCTATATTCACACCATACAAAGTTGAAACAAAGGTTCGTTCGCTTATTCAAATAATAACTTAATTAATGGAGGTATAAGGTAGATAATTGTTTGAAATTGTTATGTGGACATGTAGAAATAACAATAATTACGTAATATAATACACGGATATAAAACTCATGACAAACAAAAACCATGAATTCTGCAAAGCACACGATATGTCGAGTTTTGTCATTAAATATCCGAGTTTATATTCGTAAAAATATCGAAATATTATACATATAATAAGTATACATTCGAAATTAATATTATTATTATTATTTAGTATACACACTAGCACAAAAAGGCTAGCGTGTGTATTTAGGATAGGAAGAAATTAATTTAAGTTTGAAGAATTCAGTGAAGAGGTCATTTAGTCGGCTCTGAGAGTTTATTTAGTCGTTCCACAACTGAGCGTTTTTCAAGGCAGTTTTTGCCGCTCACCACCACTATGTGGAACCAGCTGCCCACTGAAGTATTTCTGAACCAATTCAACTTAGTCCTTCAAGAAAAGAGCGTACCAATTCTTAAAAAGCCGGTCGCAGTCGCAAGCCCTCTGGCTTGGGCGGCAGTATCGCCTAACATCAGATGAGCCCCTTTTCCCCCTGTTCTATGTAAAAAAAGTAAAGTGTTCTGTAATGTTCTTCATTCTAATAATTGTTTATAATAACACCAATATCTCTCTTACGTATTAAGGTGTAATTTGTTTTCCTAATAAGTCTTAATAGTTGTAGAAAATAAATCAATTCCTTGAATAAGCTGATGTTTTAAATTGCTCCTTTTTCAGTTGGTGTACTGGGAAGACAAAACTTTGTTTATTGAACAAAAGTTCGTCACATTCGATGGCTTTGTACGCGCCATCGTGCTGTCACGTCAGAATCTGATTAATGTTGACGCCGATACACTACTGAAGAACATCCCCGGAGCTGAGAGCAGACCAGAATGTCCAGAAGAAATTAAACACTGGCTAGATGCTATTGAAATATCAAGTGCAAGATTAAGGAAGAAGGATTAGAAAATTATTAGTGGGTTATTTTAATAAAATGGTTTAAGTTTCATATGGTTTTATTTAGACGTCGTTTTCTATCTAAAACCCGCCCTTTTTACACGGCTTTTAAAAGAAAATACACAATACCTGTACAAAACGCACTTAATTACCTGATTTAAAAATTAGAAAAAAAACATTTAAAATTGGCGCTAAGACACGACATGTTACAGCTTGACTTAAGGAAAGCAAATTAGAAATTTATCATAATCCTTATCATTGGGATTGATTTGCTCCAGTTCAAACAATTTGTATGACTCAAATCTGGGCTATAAAAAAGAGTGGCGGACTTTCTTGCCAGTTCTTCTTGCCCGCACTTGACTTTCGAACTGGTAATAAATGTAAATTTATAAACAATTTAACATCTATTCTGTTGACGTTCATAAGTGTACTTCATTACCTATATGAATAAAGTTATTTTGAGTTTGAACAAGGTGATGAAAGTTTTCATCAATACTAATTACATCGTATACAGACTACGTCAGATAATTAAATTTCATTTAATTAACGGAAATCGTCCATAGAATGTAAATTTCTTTAGGTGCCCGTTTTATTTTGCAAAAGAGTTTAGTAGTGCTATAGGTCAACAGCTTTGATTACATAAATGTCACAAGTTGACCCGGTTGAGCCTACTTGATTTGTGCTTGTGTAATAAAAGAGAAATTAGCTTCATTTCTCAAAAACAAAATTTTCACATTCGATTAAAATTTTTATACATTAATAATTATAATAATAATAAATCATTTATTTGCTAGAAAGTGGTACATTTTTATCGAATTATAAAAATGCGCACAATCAGCCACACAAAAATTGGCATGCAAATGTCACATTAATTTTCATTAATGGTGCGTTCCACTAAGCGCTCACGACGATCAAAATGCTCCTTTAGCCATTCCACATACCGACCGCGGTCGTTGTGGTCACGGCGAAAACGTCACTCATGACGTCATGACTAATGCTCACGCAACGCTCACAACGACCCATCTAAAGAGGTGGGTCGTTGTGAACGTTGAGAATAATTTGGCGCAATTTTTGAAATTTTTTTTTGAAATATGACAAATAATATTATTATTATATTCAAAGCTTAAAGATGGCGACAAGAAAAATCACATTATTTGATTCAGAAAGAGAAATTGTAAAGCCATTTCGATTATATTTAAACTTAAGTTGTTTGATAACTTCACCAAATTTATTTATAATATATTCAATTATTCTTCACTTTTAACATACATAAATTTAAGTCACAAATATCAAACTTATTGTTTATGATTACCTAACCTCCTTAAAATTCTACTATTTTCAAACTTGACATTTGTAATATTTACATGAACGCCGGAAACGCTCCATA